CTCCCGGATACAAGGAACCACGAGGCCGAATTCCCCGAAGGGGCCGGTTCTCCCTTGCCCTTTTGGGTGAACGCGCCATCGGCACACCCTTGGGAGTGATTATGGACGCGTCCCGTTTTCGAGTGACCTTCTACCGGCCTCCCCGGGCGCGTCTATTTCCCGCAGGCTACATAAGCCGGCCACCCACCTGTGGCCGGGGCTCTTGGTTAGGGGGGGCTACGCTCGACGGAGCATTCATCGTTATTTTCCTGCTCCCCCTTTTCCGTGATCCTGCCAGTTCCGGCAGCGCGGACCCTTCTCCTGGTGATCCTGTCAATTAAGGCAGCGCCAACCTCATTTCTCTTTTGTTCCGCCTACGGGCGCAAAGCGTGTGGCGTAAGGCCAATAAACACGTTTCTACGGTATCCCTGTGTTTGGTGTGGTGTCCCGTCCACCGGAGCCTAGCGGCAACCAACGGACGGACCCGGCCGTAGCCGCCATAGCAGCGGACTGCGGAGTGGGTTTTGCCTCACAGCGATCAGCAAGGTAAGTCGAAACCCACCTTTTGCAACCGACGAGTTACGGAGTGGGTATTTGCCTCACTGAGGACTTTGGGGTAAACTAGAATCCCACAAGCTAGTAAAAACGAAGGCGACAATATTGAGCACAAAAGAGGAGGCACACACCTGAAGAAATATTACGCTATAAAATATAAATATAATCGTTCCACCTTGTGTGCGAGTGAAGCCGAAGGTATATGCATGAGCATGTTGCTCTAAACAGTGCTTGGACTGCACGAGCGCGCGTGCTTATCAAGGACGCTGAAAGGCCGGCACTCGCTCTTGTAGCTTCTGCTCCACTCGAATTAAAACTGAATCAGATTTACTTATTCGAAGTAGAAAAATAAGAGAAAAGGACGAAGTTTGCGCATTGGGAGTACATCCTTTTGCGTAGTACGAGTACAGTGTTGCCCAAGGCTAGCAAGGCAACTGCATGATGAATCCCCGCTGTTCTCAAGGAAGGAGACTTCTACTAACGAGATTAAGATGGCGAGACATCGAATCTATGATTCGTATCCCTCGTGCCATCAAGCGCCGAAGTTCCCTTTCCGAACGCGGTTTGCTGGATATTTCCAACGTAGAAAACAAACCCTTTAGGAAGCTATCCTGCTTAAAGAAGGACCTGGCTGTTCTGCATGCGGGCCTCAAAATACCAGCACCCGACAGATCGGCGCAGGGTGTTGCCAATCTGGCGAGACGCTTTGCATGGTTCTTCCTCGACTGGCCTATCCCAACCGTCTGTTCGTTCTTGGATGAGCGTTTGGACGGAACTTGTCGGTGTTCTTCAGTTCTGTGAACCTCATCGTGGGTCACATCAACGAGAGGTTCGGCCACCTGCTCGCTGACATGAACAAACATAGGTGGTTGACCCTGGCGAAACTAGAGCTGTGCTCACAGGTGAGACCCTGCATGGTTTGTGTAAATTTCGAGTTTCCATTGTTTCTAGCACGGCTGCTCTGTCTGGTGAAAAGTTACTTTTTTCTATACGCCAAAGGTGTACATGGGCAGTGTCAGGAGAAGTCACGACGAGCGCGTTCGTAATCTACGAGTGTTAGTAGGCCACTTTTATGAGCCGTCTTTGCTCTACTTCACGCTGTGCGAGAAGCATCGTCCCCACCGCGCATGCGTGGCCCGCTCTGAGTTGGAGCGTAAAGTTAGCGGAGTGAGCGTGCGCTCCGCTTCACAAGTTGTAGAGCGGACTGCCCTCAGCGTCCTTAGCGTGATCGCTTAGATCTCAAGATGGCGGCACTTACTCAATAGACGCTTTCAGCGCGCGCCAAATCGAGCCGCCATAGCCGACCTTCTCTTGTCTTACCGAGATGCCGAGCCACTGAAGCGGGCGTTGACGAGTCTCCACAAGGGCCTATGCTGGGGAGAAGGACACAGTAACACTTCACATGGCAATAACCTGTCCTGCTGCGGTAATGATGAAGTGAAGCGAACGGAATAAGAGGGAAGAAAAACTGAAGGTCGGTTATGGCGGCGCCCATGCACAGCTGCCTGAAAGCGTCTATACGCGTCGATGTCTTTGACCGTGACCTCAGCTTGAAAGAGGTCGAATCAAGAACTAAAGCGTACACCCCGCGCGTAAAAAGTAAACCATTCGATTTGAGTTCTATGTAACACAAAACAGCATAATCAAACGAAGTGAACGAGAATCACTTTGCAACCAGCACGGCGTCGGTAAAGTCGTCGCGTTTTGTGGACGGCCTATGGCTATGCAGTCAGATGTACGGGTGCGCGTGCTTGAACGACGATTATATCTGTGCATGCGCCCTCCTGTCGAAAATGCCACTGAAAGCTGACCACAAGCATAGCACTCGCAAGCTGCACCAAAGAAACCATTCCTCTCAGCTTTATTTATTCACACTCGCTCGCAACTTTTGAATTGTTTAACTTTCTTCAAGAAATGTTTGCGTTGGATTTCCTTGGTAGATTTAGAAAATAATAGAAACTTGAATGCAGCCCTTTTAAAAGTGCAACCCATGGTGCCGCTAGTCTTCGAGGCCGCCTTATTTTGGCCAAGTGTCTAGGGAGCAAGAGAGCTACGTCATTGTTTGTCGCGGATGCGAGTCTAAATGTATTAGACACGAATGCTGCGTCAATACTGAATATGAAATGGGTTCTAGTCACAAGTCTCGCACTAAAAGCGATGCCCAAAATATGGCGGCCGAATATGTTACCCGGTGGTGTTTTGAAAAGAGTTACCAATAACGGTCGAAAGAATATTCCACGTCAATTTTTTGTCTGGTGAAAACCAGACAGGCATAAACAATGCAAAATTTAGCAAACACAACCCTGGACTTCTAAGCAATAGTGGTATATTAGAACAGTTTTCAGAAGTTTCGTTTTGAATTCCGGCGTAGCGGGCCTCGCATGCACAGTTTGACGGCCTCAAACCTCAGCAGAATTAAGAAACAACTATATATATATATATATATATATATATTAATTTACGATACCCAGTTTTTTACAACCCTACAATGGAAATACGCTTTATCTTAGAGGAGTAACAAGTCCCATATCACATGTTTTGGTATGGTGTTTAAATACTGCCGTGTTGTAAGAGTGTTTTCTTTGTCTTTTTTATTAGGTCGTCAAGGACAAGGGAACGTCAAGGACAATGGTTTTGTTGACCGCACAGCGTGCCCATATGCCGTCCATCAAAAAAATTAGAAGAAGACCACAAGAGGGCGCTCGTCGTGAAGCACCAGGCAGTGATGTGCGCAGACGGCATAATTTGACGGCTGGACGAAACCTACAAAGACCATGGGCATTTTTTGTTTAATATTAGAATGCATAAACTTATCACAGTAAATCATGTTTAAGCTTTTGTACTGAGCGAAATACCTGTCCAACTGGGCTGAAAGGCATCTAGAAATATTTTAATAAAAAACGTTTACTAACGACTCCCATTTTACTTCTCAGATGTGCGTGTGAATATTGCATCTAACCAAATTACAGTGTTACTGTTGAATTCAGCATTGTAAGAGTAGACTATGTTGCGTGGCCTTCTATTGCAAGAAAAGACCGTAGCACAAGTGAGGCAGAAACTGGGCAGGAGCTTAAGCTGAAAAACGCACTTTCATAAACACACAAAAGAAATAAAAAGAAGTGTATAGTGAAGCAAAATGGTTTCATGTCACCCCCCAAGGCAGATACATACACTGCGCTCCACTGTTAATACGAACACGAAAAAAATCGCTTTTATTTGCAGTTTATTTCTTTGACAGCTATTGAAAAAGCTGAAAATGTGTCGCTCAGATTGGTGCCCCAAACGAGCGCTTTATTCCACACCAATAGGCAAATGTCAGCCCCTCCAATTTAAGATGAAAAATGAAACAGGATATTGAATGCTCCCGCTAACAGTGTCGCGCAGTGTACATAAACACCAAGGCACCATATCACAAACCGAAGCATACGAAGAAGAAAAGACTCATTTCATCGGGAAAAAAAAAGTAGAGATATAAATGGAGCACTCGCTTTCGCTAATTTTCACTGTCTTGCTGCCTGAAGTAACCAAACAAAATATCTGTCCGTTTGCCGACTGCTTTCGTCTTTGGTCTTTAACCTTGAATTTTTGGCTCTGGAGAGCTGCGGCACCGCGGAAAGCAGCAGCCCGTACCACCGAGGCCCGCGGTGCCGCGTCTAGAGAACATGGTAATGTGATGAGTATATACGTGCAAGATGACGACGACATGGGTTGTTGGTATTGGGGAGGGTGGCAGTCCGATTCGCAGTAGTCTAGACTTCGTGGAGGCGGGTTGGGCGGGTTGGGCGGGTGAGCAGCGAGCTATGAAGATCTTGCACGCCGTTCGATCAGTGCATGAAGGAGCACCAGGAACATAATGGCGCTATTGCTCACTGGGGTCCACTGGGGTCAAAGAATCATGCTCCAAGGAGGTAGTCCAGCCGAAGTAGAAGCTGCCGCCTCCGAGGAACCGAGGCCCAGGGCTCAGATTGAGACACCGCCGTCGCCCGGTGTGTCATCCTCTCAACGTCGTCGTCGTCATCTCGCATAGAAAAATCGAGCCCGCTGGCTTAGACAAGGCAGCACCTGTTCCCACCGTTCAGGGGCCGTGGAAGGATTGCGGCCAGCGATTTCTCGAAGCAGCCAGAGGTTCTTGACCACCGTGAAACGTTTTCTGGGGGACGCCTTTTCAAACAAAGTCTGCGCAGCTTCTTAGTGCAGCGAGGTTCATAGGGGTCAAGCGCGCTCCCACGCATGATTTCAAATATCGAGCACCCACCTTTCCAGAAAAGCACCATCTAGTGAACCTTTACTGAGAGTGGAACGTACTTCTCAAAATGGCGACGATAGCGGAGCTGACGCTCCACGCTCAAATCCCAGAGCGGGTCGCGCATGCGCGATGGCGACTCCGCTTTCCATAGAGCGGAGCGGGAAACCGAAAACGGTCTACTAAAACTCTCTAATGTGTGCTTCCTAACATCTGGTTTCAGGGTCACGACACAACCGCCATGGCCATAAGCTGGGCGCTATTGCTGATAGGCCTCAGTCCTGTGGAGCAGCAGAAAATACACGACGAATTGGATTCCATCTTCGGGGACGACACAGAGCGGCACGTCAATCACGAAGACATGAAAGAGATGCGCTATCTGGAATGCGCGCTAAAGGTGACATATCGTTCATGTTGACCGAGCTACTGCAGCGAGCTAACCGGTATAAATGCCATAGAGTGTACGTGTATGTTTCTTCTTTTTTTTTTTTATCATTAGGAGGCACAACGGATTTACCCTAGCGTGCCATTCTACTCAAGACTTTGTGAAGAGCCTTTTGAACTCGGTGAGTTTAACGTCCCGTCATATAGACACGTAGTGCAGGAGTTTGTTGATAACGGAGATACAGCTGTTAAAAGCTTGGTTAGGCATTGATATTTAAAAGGGTATTGCAGGTAGGTATTTAATTCGCTCCCTAAGTCCCCAAAACTGACCCCAAAAGGATATTTTCTAATTTAGAAAGCACAAACGACTAAATCAAAAGTCATGAGTGCGGAAGCGGTAACTAATATGATGTATCAGAGTTTCCCCGGGAATTAAAATTAGGGGGAGGGGGTTGGAGGGGGGGGGGGGGGATGACATTACCGAATATTAAAGTCGTTGGGAATTAAGGGGGTGCCTTCAGAAAAAAGAGGGGGGGGGGGGGGGGGGTTAGGGAAATTATTGTGATGTATCATAACAAGTTCTAACATTAAAGGTTTTTTTTTGTTTTCTTTCTCGAAGGGGTTGCAAAATAACAGCATTTGAACGGAAACTTTTAGCTTAATAGTTACCACACCAGGAGGCAAGTTCAGCGCACGAACTAAACCTAGAAGATTCCTAGGATCACTCCGAATTATATATAAAATATACAAAAATTCAGTTGTCTGTGTCTGTAAAGATAAAAGTAAGAAAATTAAATAAAATCACCAACCAAATCCCCTGAGGAGGTCCCGACGTTTTAAAACCGGCTCGGGGTTTTCTTCAGGGGCGACTGTTTACAGATAGGGGACAGCGGCTTTGTTTTCTTCTACGGTGGTGGTCTCTTCTTTATCTTGTTTGTCGGGCGACTAAGTTTGTTCACTTAGGATGATGGTAATGTGCCAGTGGTTATATTGACATTTCTTGGTGTTCTTTGAATAAGCCATGGCTCTATAAAAATCCACTGGCGGAAGTTCATCTCAACATTTATGACGCGGGTGTTTGCAAAATCGATGCTATTGTCCTTGTCTTCACCGAGCTCCGCAACAGCGCTGCGCTCGCAGTCGAATTTGCGCACATCGTTTTTGTGTTGGCGAAGTTCTTTTTTTCTGAGAGGTTCCTTGTTTCGCCGATGTAGGTGGCAGAGCACTCTGCGCATGGAATTGGATACACAACACCTTGCGCTCTTTCTTTAGAGAGACGATATTTCGGTCGCGGCATCATGCGCCTATGTGTTGACACTGGTTTGTGGGGCATCTGAACACCTTTCTTTTACCAGCGTAAGTGGCAGCAGTGAAACGTCCGGACCTCCTTGTAGGATGTGGTTGCTGATTTCTTTTCAATTTTCCAAGTTTTCCCTCAACCAGGCTGACCTGCCGAAATGTTTACATTAAAAGTTAAAAGTACGACATGTATGCTACTGGGTTTTAAGAAGTTGTTAATCTTAAAGATGTTTGATTCCGCCAGGTTCTCTAAGACAGTATTACATTTTAGAGTAAATGTAACCCGTGTGCTAATCACAAAAACAATTTTACTTTTCAAAAGGCGGCACGATTCTTCCCGAGGGAACAGTAATTAAAATTGCGGGCTACTTCTTGCATCGGGATCCAGAAGTATTCCCAAAACCCGAAGAGTTTCGCCCTGAAAGGTTTCTTCCCGAGAATTCAAAGGGAAGGCATCCTTTCGCCTACATCCCTTTCTCGGCAGGTCCACGAAACTGCATTGGTAAGGCCGTCACTCTGTTCCGCATCATGAGCAGACACTTCTAAATATATTCTCGTGTTTTATTCTCAGGTCAGAAGTTTGCGCTGCCGGTGGTAAAAATCGTCGTTGCCAACATCCTGCGCCGATACAAGCTTCAGTCCCTCGATCACAGAGATCAAGTTCTTTTCTTCTCCGAAATGGTTCTCAGACCTAAAAATGGACTCCGAATTAAGTTTATCCCCAGGGTTTCTTCGAAGCGTGCTTGACTTAATGACAAAATGGAATGGCAAAACAAAACAACGAGAAACATTGCCGTGGCTGGGGCATTCCAATCTGCATCACTTGTCGGTAGGGTGACCACCTCCCTGCCGGTGGAATGCGGGACAGCCTGACCGGTATTTTCACGACTCAAGAAATAAATATTAAATAAAATTCACCAACGCGCACACCCCGAAATCCTGTGCTGTCCGGAAGCGTATTATACACCTGAAAATTGTACGCGGCAATTAAACTAAGATAATTTTCACTCTCAGTGATATACTTTTTTATTTGTAATGGTAAATATTTTATTAAAAGTATCTAAGTTGAAAACATAAAGATCGACTGCACCAGACCGGCCAATGCATCAAAAGGAAATAACAGTAAATATTTTTCGGCTTACTGTTTCCTGTCGATACTTACTCTTATATTAACATGCTCCTACACAAAAATAAAACCTTGTGTTGCTTTTTTTTTTTTTTTTTGACCGTTGTGAGTTGCAGGTTTTTTGCCTTCTGTGGCCGTCTTCGCTAAAAAAGCTTTCCACAACCCTTTCGCATGATACATTATGATTTGCAACTAATTACAATAGTTTATTTTTCAACTTTTGGCGAGAAATTTTCGCTTGGAATATTTTGCCATCAAGGGGAGAGGCACAACAGCGCATGTGCGTCAGTCTCCCGCAAGAACGACGGTTGCTTCGCGCAGTGCTTGGCAAGAAAATGACATAATGACATACCATCGAGATTCACACATTTATCAGCGATCTCCGCGGTTCCCCATTGCCCGTTGTTCGGAAGCGCCATAATTTGCGCAGGGAATGTTACGACAATGTGGAATGCGGGACATTTTGAAGATTTTGGAATTTCCTGCGGGACGCGGGACACGAGCCCTCAATGCGGGACAGTCCCGCGAGTCGCGGGACGGGTAGTCACCCTACTTGTCGGCGTGCCATGAATCGTTTTAGCAGGTTTGAAAGTTTTATGGAATTTCAGAAAAGTAATGGCTCGACGTTCTTCGAACACCGACCTCCGTAGATGGTTCTCGGAGGATGGGTCTAAGCAGGTCTAGCAGTATTTGCCTAGTTTATGCAGTCCCAAACAAAACACCGTTTCGTACATTTGACTGTGTAAACCCCTTTCGAAAGTATGCCCTCTGCATGGAAGGTATGGAGTCCCTGCACAATGGCGGACACCAAAGACACCACCAATGTTGGAACCCTAGAAAATCTACAAATCACACTTCATTTCTGGCTTATGTGGCATTCGAATATCACATTCTGTGGTGTCACTTGCTCTGCCATTGTGCAGTGCTGCGGACATTTTGACAATGATCGTACGCGATTTTCGAAAGCATAAGGCCCGTTTTTCTGGGTCAGGGGGCACGAGCGCGCCAGTAAGACGCGCCCATATGGCGCTTGCATGGAAGCGCCACTGCCGCCTTCGATCATGCACGATCTGCGGACGTTCACGAGCGTGCGTCGCCATCCGTTCACGCGCGGTAACCGCTCATTCACACTGGAAGCGGATCTCGATGACATCAAGTGCGCGTGACATTGACATTTTCCGAATACACATTTCAAATTATGGTTCTAGCGGTGCATATTTTTGGCAGTTTAATACATCACATACAGGTGACTGGGGCAGTTCGGCCGTTTTTCCTGCTACCATACAAACTAATTTCCAGTGATTGTGCACCTTCTAAAAAATAAAACATGCCTGGATACGTGTACGAACTATATTATTAATTCACGAAGACACTACATTTATGTAAAACAACCCTGTTCCACGAGCACTTCAAAGGTCTTCAGACCCATGACCTTTAAAGCATCTGCGAACCAGCGCATGCAGAGTGGCACGCGCAGAGTCGGTGTCGCGGGCTAATTTGCTGACCGCCAAAAGGCCTTTAATATAAATGCCATTTGAAATGTCCACAAAGCGTGGTGTAATATTCTCCTAACTCTCAAATATGCAAGGAACCGAATTCCAGCGTCTGAAACACCTACGCCGCCGCTTCACCGACCCCTCGCACGATTGCACTGTGCCGTGCACGTGGACCGACAGGGAGGTTAATCGGCGAAATTGCCTCCGCCGATAGCTTTCGGGATTTGTAACCCAATTATAAATGTAAAAGTGAAAAGCACGCTTATAAAGGTACAAAAGCACGTCCCCAGCGTCTTGAACTCCGGGTAAACGAGGCCCCGCACCTCGAAGTGCTTGCGGCACGCAACGGTGAAACCAGAAAACCGGGGCAGGGAAATGAAAAATTTTTTCGTCAAAAATATTTTAGGGCATGGCTACGAACAATGAAGCAAAAGGCCATGAATTTTTCTTTTTAGAAATCGAAGGTGGTCGAGCGCAACACCTGGGACGTTTGACATGGAATGACCCTATATGATCATATCTCCCGGGCTTCACAATACAGCTTGACGAAAATAATCCCTGGAGAAGGGGAACAAGAGGGACAAAGGACAAACACAAATCTCCAAACACAGCTAGGTGACTGGTGCGCGACCAAACAATTGTTCCCCTTCTCCAGGGATTATTTTCGTCATTCTTGTCCAGCTTGCTTGCACCTTTGCATTTAATAGCATTATAATCATAACCTTAAATTGCAAGCTTCACCCTTGTTGGTGTTAGACTGGTGGCGGCTGATAAAACCCGTTTGCTCTACTGATGTCTAACCCCTGGTTAGCTCGGTTGGTAGAGCGCTCCACCTGTAATGGAGAGGTCCCGGGTTCGATCATTGGTTCGATATCCGGACCAGGCGGATTTTTTCGGTCGCGCACCAGTCACCTAGCTGTGTTTGGAGATTTGTGTTTGTCCTTTGTCCCTTTTGTTCCCCTTCTCCAGGGATTATTTTCGTCATTCTTGTCCAGCTTGCTTGCACCTTTGCATTTAATTGCATTATAATCATAACCTTAAATTGCAAGCTTCACCCTTGTTGGTGTTAGACTGGTGGCGGCTGATAAAACCCGTTTGCTCTACTGATGTCTGACCCCTGGTTAGCTCAATTGGTAGAGCGCTCCACCTGTAATGGAGAGGTCCCGGGTTCGATACCCGGACCAGGCGGATTTTTTCGGTCGCGCACCAGTCACCTAGCTGTGTTTGGAGATTTGTGTTTGTCCTTTGTCCCTTTTGTTCCCCTTCTCCAGGGATTATTTTCGTCATTCTTGTCCAGCTTGCTTGCACCTTTGCATTTAATAGCATTATAATCATAACCTTAAATTGCAAGCTTCACCCTTGTTGGTGTTAGACTGGTGGCGGCTGATAAAACCCGTTTGCTCTACTGATGTCTGACCCCTGGTTAGCTCAATTGGTAGAGCGCTCCACCTGTAATGGAGAGGTCCCGGGTTCGATACCCGGACCAGGCGGATTTTTTCGGTCGCGCACCAGTCACCTAGCTGTGTTTGGAGATTTGTGTTTGTCCTTTGTCCCTCTTGTTCCCCTTCTCCAGGGATTATTTTCGTCATTCTTGTCCAGCTTGCTTGCACCTTTGCATTTAATTGCATTATAAACAATACAGCTGTCTTTGTGTGTTTTGTACTTCCGACTACCTCGTTGACTTCTGAAGACCCACGAAGGATGGGTCATTGTAGATTTTCATCCTTCCGAAGCTTTTTTTTTTTTTTTAATTAACAACTGACATAATGTACACAAAAGATGGCACATGTGAGGGTTGAAAACGAGAATGTAACGTGTTTTGTATGTGTGAAAAATTGTCAATAAAAGGTTTAAAATCATTGTTGGCTATTTTGGCTATACTTTTTTTATGGCTTTGGCTATACGCATGGCGGTTTCTTGGTGGGACCATCTGGCAACACTGCTTGCCAATGGCCGAACTAGTCAGGCAATGGCCACGCCTTGACCAAGCGGAGGACACATTCTTCGCTGTCTGAAGAAAACAAGCTGTTTAAAAATAAAGCACGACTTTTGCATCGTCCACTCGGAGAGCAACCGCTGCCTGTTTTGCACGTGTAGCCTGTGCATGTACAGAACTTCCAAATTACTAGTTCCATCAAAGTTCGTATGTCTGCTACTAAGTGCCGTTTTTATGCTGAAAAGGTCTATTGTTAGGGTGCAAACTCCCTCACCATGAAAGGTTGAATGCGGAACAATAATTAGTGCGGTACTTCCGCTATTTAAGAATCCATTTAAGCCCGACATCTTACTGAGGTTGATCACGGATGATCTGTTCCACAAAATTCCATCAGGGGCCCTAATCTACACAGCGATGTCCCTATCTCTTGGTCCCGCTTCGTTCCGCCGTGCAGATTAGGGCCCCAGGTTACAGCAGCCTATTCAATAATGTGTAAAACATCCAGCGAACGCTCACCACATGACCGCATCGAGAGTCTGGAAAAACAAGACAACTTTGAATGTTACCCTTCTCATAACCTTTTGCTCTTGTTCAAAAACTGCAAAAAACAAGAAATCAAAAAAAAAATTAGTGATTTTATTTATTTTTTTAAAATCAAATTGCAAACAAGAACAAGGACGAAAACGAGGGGGGAACTGGACAGGACGCGGCGTAACTTTCAGCTGAAATTTATGCCGTTCTCTCTTTGTTTTCGACCTTGTTTTTTTGGCATATTACATTAAATGCAAAACCAACTAGCCCAACTAGCCATCCTTATCCAAACAAGAACACAGAGCTATTGCACTTAAAATATGGTTTTAATCATGTCCTGAAGAGGATAACAAGATGTACATCAATTAAACCAACATAAAATGAAAGTGAATTTGAATGCAGCAGATTTCCACCATCGTGAGGAGAGAGCATTTTTAAATTGAGGCAACTTGCAGTTCTCAAGCTCGCGCAGAAGATGAAAGCCCATGCTAAGTGTCGATGCACACATGAAGCGGGTTTTTTGTGCCATTTTGATGTCCGTCCCCACCACAACATGCATTTGGACCCCACAAATAAGAATGAAATGTCCTCCAAGCTCATGCACTTCTGCTTACTGTTCATGAACTTTTCTTGCCACAACGACAGAATGGTAAGTGCACACTAGTGTTATTCCTTTTTCATTTTTCATAGATGTTCAAATAGGTGGATAAACCTATATACGCTTTTATCACAACTAGTATAGCTTCCAGACTGCCTGGAAAAATAAAACTATGATTTGAAACTGCATTTCAATAGACACCTGTGCTTCCATAAATCTGCATTAGTATATTACAATATGCAAATCTGCTATTTCTCGTTATATGCATCTATGGCATTGCAATCAGAAAACTCCAGCTTTTTACACCCAGAAGGCTTCATAAAACAAAAAGTCGACACTCTCGACAACTTAGGTATTAATCACACCGAAACACAAGGTATAGTATCCACAAGAAAACACACGCACGCACACACGCTACACGTAAAACAGCTAGGTTCCATGTAATGACAGCTCTATCGTACAGTGTTGGAGAGGGGTTCCAATGGGGCATTAGATCCCCGGCAGATACTTTGCATGTTTATATCCAAACATGAATGTGCCCCACATACTTTGCACAACGCACTATAGTACCACTCAGATGCACAGATTTTGAACATGCACTCAGACTACAAAGCATTCTGCACGATTGCTAACTTTGTTCTCTGGAAATAAATCTATGGGCTCATTATATTAACTGCAATAATATAGACAATACATAATACCAACTTTAGTGATGATTCTAGTACAGTAATCTACCTACAGGTTAGAGGAAATTAGTTTACTATGTACTGGCCACTCTGTTCAAGTCGCTACCATGGGATTTTCAAAGGGACCTGTAACGAAAGTAGAAGTAAAAATAGCAAAGTCAATCAAGCCCAATGAATAGCACACTCCATACAAGAGGAAATGGCACCCATAATTCAAGAAAAGCTCGAAAGGAGAATCAGCTCCGTCGTAAAAATTGTAAGAAAGCTAAAATTAAAATTGTTCAAGAAGTGCCATAGGAAATTCATCGAGCCAGAGCAGGCAGAAATGAGTGCAGAGGCACCAATAGGCACAAATCAGAAATATGTTTCAAAGGCCAGACTGCCTAACAAAAAAAGGACATAAACAAACAAGACCAACCACCACAATGGTTTCAAAGATACCACAACCATTTCAAAGCAAAAGAAGTAAAAATTTTCTTCTTTTGTGTCGCACCAGAAGATTTCGCTACGAAAAAGTGGCTGAGTGTCTTTGTGCACCGTGCCTTCATTACACTACCTAATGAACAAGATGTACATTGCAAGCTCGTAGAAGCTTCTGCCTAATCTTGACCGAAGCTAAGCCTACTTGCTGTAGTCTGTAAGAAAAAGCGCCACAAAAGATGAGCTCTTAATAAATGACAACACATTTTTATACTGTAGAATCTAGCACAGCACTCAACAGAAACTGCAGCAAAACAATAGTGAGTGAACTGCCACAAAATTAGGCAGGTACCTTTGTTCATGTCTAAAAAGACATAGCACATGGATTACTTATATAAAGTCTGACTGTATAAAATCCTCAAAAACAAAACTAACAGCATCAAAAGAAAAAAAAAAAAAAAAACCAACAACAATCAAGGGTGTGCACACACTTCCTTGTGCCTTGATTCTCAGGTTTTGGCAACATTGTAAACGGGCTGTCCCAGGTCTGAATGACCCAGAAAAAAAAAAAAATCTAGTCTTGACAAAATGCGTCAATAAATAGCATAAAAAAGCACTTTGAAGCTTGCACACAACGGTCTCTTTCGTCCACCCACCCATACAAAAACACATGCACACACATACAGACACCCGGAGGTTAAAATAACATAAAAAAAAAAAAGAAACGCTACTAGTGTACAGCACAGCAATAAATTAACTGCAACGTCAAACAAAACCTATACATACAACGACATCGCCGTGTCGGAGAAATTGCACACAGAGAACTTGCATGTCCCGCTCCGTTGTTCAGAACAAGGCGCGGGTGGCGCCAATGATTGCCTGGCTCAAAAACAGCGTCAACACCCCAAAGGAACAAGTACTACACGTCGGAAAAAATAAAAAAAATAATGGACACAGAAAAATGCCTCACAGTGGCTCACAGCCCACGCTCGGACAACTTCGGCTAAACGCCGCGTTCCCGGAAGCATTCCGTGAAATGAGACTGAACTGCAGAGAGCTTGATCGGTACTTTGGACCGACCAAGTGGCTCGCGCGACGAGTGCCCGGAACGGAAGCTAACATCCTGAAGCGGTATGCAAGAGAGACTGATGAGATACAGAGCTATGGTGCATGGCTGGTGAGCCAACTGCAATCGGTTTCTCATGTTTCTGCACCGTTTCTGCAAAGACCCATTTTCATGGTGTGCGGCACATAATTGCCAGCAGTTCCCCCAGAAATTTTACCGGTAATTTGCAACTTCCGCAGGGATTCTATGGTGACTAGAACACTGGCCGGTGCCCTCGTTCAACTGCAGTAACGGACGACAGCTATCAACATTAGCCGAAGCGAGGCCGAGTCCAAGGTGTGTTTCAAGCAACTAGTGCGCTGATTTCATCGTGGCACATTCTTGTAAATGAGTGTTGGAGGTCAGCCCGGAAAAAAAATTTTGCTTTTCGACATGGCACCACCTCACAAGGTCATTCTAACCATATGTATGGTGTTCTAGCTAGTCTTAACCAGCAACCATAGCAAACCTAGAGTCGGCTCAATTCGGTGAAAATTTGCATGCTTGACTGGAATGCAAACTGTCATTGAAGGATTAAACTTTTATTGTAATGAAAATGTCTGTGTAATCTGAATCGGCCTAGTACTTTGATAGCTCCATATTCCTTGAAATCATTCGTTTGAGAGCACTGACAAAAATCGTGGACACACATCACCTGCTTTCCTTCTCCAAGACAAGAAAGCACTTGAGACATTTGTCCGTAATATCCTAGACACTTTAGTGTAGCCTCATGTCATAATTTTTCTCAAAGGTATAGAGTACTGCTGGTCGTAGAGTGATACAAAACAAACAATTCTAAATTTTAACTCAGTACAGTCAAACCCGTTTATAACGAACAGCAGGAAACGCCACGATTAGTTAGATATAGCAAGTAGTTCGATATAGCAAAAAACATCTACAACAAACTTCCACGATGAGTTCGTTGTAAGGCGAGAGCTTCTTTTTCTTTCTCTTCTCTTGACTTCCGCCTTGTAACCTCGCGCTGGATTTTTTTCTTTTTTTTGTATGCATGCAGAGTTTTTTTTTTTTTTTAGCTTATCTCCTTTTCTGAATCGCTCCTCTTCGTGAACAAACGCTTTGGGATGAATTTTTGTTTTTTGTGTGCGTGTGTGCAGGGTATTTTTTTAGCTTTCTCCCCTTCTGAGTCGCTTCTCTTCGCTCATTTTTGTTCGCAACTTGAGCTTTTGAAATTTTCGTTTTTCTCCCACTTCTTTTCTGGGGGCACAGGCTAGATTGCGCGCTTTTGGAAGCCTTCCCGGGAGGGAAAAAAGTTTGATATAGCCAATATGTTGTTCGTTATAAAGCATACTTTTTACATGCATTTTTATTTAAACTTTTTGCGAGTTCGATATCGACAAAAATTCACTGTACGTGGGTTCGTTCAAAACGGGTTTCACTGTATGCAAGAAGAGTCGAAACTTCTGGGGTTTATGCCACAAACCAACCAAGGATGCCTAGGACACCGCAGTGAAGGATTGAGTGAAGGACACCGAGATCTTTAACACGCAATCAAATTATTGCAAACGCAATCAATTTATGCAACATGTCCAGCCTGGACATGTTGCATAAAAAGTAGAAAATGAAAATGATGTTTCCAATGACCGGCGAAGAGCTTATAAAATAATAGAGCACGACTGCCACACTTTGACGTGCCTCTGGAAGCTGGCATAACTGGTGCCAATAAGTGCCAAGCACCCGTCGAGAAGAGCGACACCATCTTATTGGGCCGCATGCAAATGTGACTAGTGTTTGGTCTGCCCCCTTCAGCATAAAAAATATTATGGCTTCACTTTCTCGTATACTTTGTATGGCGAGTCAAGATCTGCGGTTGTAAGCTCCACATCTCCCAAACATCTGCAGTGCGGGAACATGACTTCGGAAGGTAGACAGAGTGACACTGTCAGCACAGACAAGCGATCGCCAGGTTTTTCCGTTTTTCTATTAGAACCGGAAGGCCTCTGCCAAGACTACTGGTGCTGGAAAGTGCTCATTCGAAGCGTTAATCCAGGTCGTAATATTCAATGCTCGCCGATACCCCTTCTAAGTAAAACGCGAAAAAGAGCCGATGCCGTGTTTGCGCTAACTGCGCACGCCGTGTACCCGCCATGCGCGAGTTCTCGTATTAACGAAGCCTCGCCCTAAGATACCAGACACACGCGCCCGTTCCTTTGTCTGCCTTGTCGAAATCTGCGAGATGGAATAGAGTAAAACTACTGTAACCAGTAAAACGTGCCTTTGAGAGGAACGACAACTTTGCCCTCTGCGAGGCCTGTGTAGAGTGCAAGCTTCCTTTCCGCACACTCGTTGGGCGAGGAGCAAACGAAATGGTAAAATTAAGTTGGACGCAAGGGCCGCGGCTTCGTTAAGGTAGCTGTAGGTAGGCTGGCCGAAAGATGCAGGTCCCAACGCAGGAGGCGAGAGCAGTGAAGTGGGGTGGAAAAGAGAGGGCGGACTCAGCTGTAGTCTTTCTTCTTCTGGCCCGCGCGGGGCTTGATGTTCTCCGAAATCTCCCACATGGCGTCCTCGGACAGGTAGTCTTCGAAGTTGTTGAAGAAGTCAATGATCTGCTCGTTGCGCTTGAATGAAAATGGCCTGCGCAAAGGAAGTATGCAAGAAGGGTGTAAAGGACGTGCTACCTGGAAAGAGTTTTTTTCTTTATCGGTTTTTCCTGTTAAACTACAACTTATGTTTCACGCAGCAACAAAACGCAGACATTTACAGCATTTACTCAAATATAGGACGACCATAAATACGGGTTGATTACTTGCCGAGAAATATGAGGAAATATTTGAACACTATATAGGTTGAGCCTTGTTCCTAAAGAAGTGGAAGGAGAGTAAATTTATACAAACATTTATTTTACGGCATCTCCAGTCACCCTGTCCAAAACTTGCTCGTCAATCATGCCAAACACATCATCGTCTGGAATTCCAAAATGGTTAACCATGTGCCTTCACGCTGCGGCACCAGCACTGCGACGCTAGCGTCGAGTTTTACCGCCTTTCACTGGCATGCTCAGAGAAGCAGCTGATGTGCGAGGGCCTCTCGGTTGGAGTTTGATGGGGCTGGAACTTTTGCTCACTGTTACAAGTTGAGCTCTAATTTTAATGAAAACTGCTGAAATAAAAAAAAAATAAAAAAAAAATGCCTACCCACATTTGAATAAATATGGTAAGCTTGAAGTTGATATGTTATGAGTTAACGAGAAATAAAATGTCAGGTATGCAAGTGGTTGAACCGACTATGAAGGAATTTCCAGAAACAGAATTATGCGGTGAACATATGCAGTAAGTTACGTCTAGCTTTTAAAGTTAAACATACCGTATTTACTCGCAGAATGAACGCACTTTTTTTTCCGAAAAATTGATGCAAAGTTAGGGGGGGGCGTTCATTACGCGAAGTAAAATTTTTTCGTCGGTATTTACTCGCATAATGAACGGTCTTTTTATCACGAAAAATCAACACAACTTCTTATCTCTTTGTGCGCGGCGCGCTTCCCGTAACCAAACTGGGCTGTGCAAAAAAAAAGAAAAAAAAAGAGTCCTCTTGTTCTTTTTCACAGTTCCTTTAATTTTTTTTTTTGCCGCCTGTTTTTCGCAAGCTGTGTCGTTTGCTTAGGCGAGTGCTTTTCCGCTTATCTTTCTTATCTCCTTGCGCGCGGCGCCCGACTCGCGACCCCCCCCCCCCCTCCGTAACCAAACCGCGCTGTGCAAAAAAAAAAAAAAAAGAAGAAAAGCTCCTCTTTGTTTTTTTCTTTTAGTTCCGTGGGTTGTTTTTTTTCCTTTTGCCGCCTTTCGCAAGCTGTTTCGTTTGCTTAGAGGGCTTCTCCGCTTCTCTTTCTTACCTCCTTGCGCGTGGCGCGCGACTCCTAAGTCCAGACGGCGCTGTGCAAAAAAAAAAAAAGAAGAAAAAAAGCTCTTTGTTTTTTCTCTTAGTTCCGTGGTTATTTTTTTTTTTCTTTTTGCCTCCTTTCGCAAGCTGTTTCGTTTTCTTAGAGGGTTTCTCCGCTTCTCTTACCTCCATGCGCGCAGCACGCGACCCCGAAGTCCAGACTGCGCTGTGCAAAAAAAAAAAAAAGCTCTCCATGTTTCTTTTTTCTTGCTTAGGTTGGCTCTTTTACATTTTTTTAACGCCTTTTGCAAGGCGTTTTGTTCGCCCATGCTGCCCATGCATTCGCGACCTCGCTGCACCAGGATAGAAAAGTGCGTTCATTTCGCGCGCGTGGGGGAAGGGAGTCAAAATTTTGACGTGGGAGTTGGGGGTGCGTTTATTACGCGGGTGAAAAAAAAAAGTCGCAATTTTGTGAGCCGACTTGGGGAGTGCGTTCATTACGCGAGTGCGTTCATTGTGCGAGTAAATACGGTATATTAGGGTAGCACAATAACAAAACTTTCTGAAGGCATCCTTCTCGCAATATTCACAAAACAAATAAAAGAGTGTCCCTGAAGTGAACAACGGCTACTGCAGAGTTACTTGAGAACAAATTTTCAATGATCCAAAGACGTGTTTCATGCATAGACATTGCGAAAGTCCGTACTCTCGTGGTTACACCAATGTGGGCATGAAAAAGTAACTCACTTTTTCTTGAAGCACCTCATGGGCTCCAGAATATGAAACTGCTGCCAGCACTTTGAAAAGTTAACGATAGAGTCCGTAATGTAGTCCGTGTTGCCCACGTGCACAAACGTCAGGTCCTGCAGTACCAGACCACTGAAACGAGGAAAACAAAAATATGACCACGCTTACACATGAAATGCAGCTGCTAGACTCATTAAAATCTGAACATGTAAGAATGTGCAGTGCAGAACAAATTTATTCACAAGGGTTAAGACTTCTGATTTAATCCAAGCACAATTACAACAACTATTTTGTACAGACCTGAACATTTCGGAACACATCAGAGATTGACTCTTCTGAACCTTCCAATTTTCAGGACTGATGTTTAGACAATTCATTGAATTCAACTTACAAAGGTATTATGTTCACAAAACAAGAGGTGCAAACTGCTGTCACATGTGTAAAACATAGCAATTATAGTAAGTAAACGAAGGAAAACAACTGTGCTGCTCACATATATGGGATGCAGGGAGGCGTTGTTTCCGAGAGGGCTTGTCTGTACGCACGGAAGGACGACGAACTGTCAATCAGGGCACAGTACTCTTTCAGACCCTGTAAAACGAACATTCATGCCACTGGTTGCATTCTCAATACATCCTCTGCAGAAGATACATATGAATGATGCTATGCCACTTCATACGGTGATCCTTGCACTAACCATTGAAGAGACTCATTAATTAATACTTGAATGGACGACTTGATTCTTTTTCAATTATCAGAAATCTGAATTACGTCCAAAAAATGGTAACCAAGTTGGTAGTGCAAGGAAACACCAACACACAAATTGTGTTCATTTACATTTTGATCTCGCCACAGGACGGGAAACCCTTTTCAATTTTTGGTTTTTCGCTTATCACACTAGAATACACCTCTGCATTATGTGCAGTGCCTTCTGCCGCTTCCGTCACCACTGAAAGAAATTCCGGGAACTGGCTGTATAGAACCAGCTGTAGCAGACGACGAAGGAGATGCATTTCAATAGAGGTTTTGCTCTGGTGAAATGCAGTTCCAGGGCCATCTCATAGATGGAGCCGGCATCTCATCCTAAGTGAACCCCCTGCACACTAAAAGTAGAGCCATTCACTGTTAAGAAAAAAACACCCTCTCCATCTACAAAACTCCTCTCTTTCTCCTGAATATTCTCCTCTCCGCTACCCCCGATCGGCAGACCGCCCGTTTGGTTTCGGTTCATCACTTCCGTCCGCCATTTCGGCCCCACTGCTCTGCGACCACGCTTGTTTACCTACCGCATCGCGGGATGCCAGTGAACGTTTTGACTTGAGTAGGGCGTAGGTTGCGCATTTTGTCTGCAAACGCAACATCAAAGTGCTGCCATGACGTGTTGTTGTGCAGCAGGGCGCTCCAATCGTCAAAGAAAAGGTAAAAGGCTGCACCGAGTTCCCCAGGAAAAAAGGAACAAGACGCAAAGGCGACTTCGCTGTTGAGCATCAAAAGAAAGAATTTCACATGCAGACCGACAACCAGACTGTGCGAGACAAGCTATAGCTCTGAAGAGAGCTTCCGGTTGTCTCATAAACAATAATTATACTTCTAAGTGCAAGCTAGCCCACAATCTTTGCTTTTACAATTGACTGTATGGTGCCAGCGTTCCTGTCTTTCAAAGGTAGCACGTATCAAAGCTGCAATCTCGTGCCATGCCCGTAGCAATCGCTGCCTTGTCAACGTAAAGGGCGGTGTTCAATGAAAAGTATACGCCACTACTCCGCGAGCTCAGGTGTTTGGTTCTTGAAGCTACTTTAAACGGCGAAATGCTTCGCACATGAGGTGATGTAAATAACAGTGTGAGTCGTACGTGACTTCCTTTGGTCCGGTTTATTGTGTGCTCTGTTGTACCTCATTAATTGTAGTACAATAGTACAAACATAGTATTATACTAAAATCCCAGCGCAGCCTGTTTTCTTTGTTGGCAGCGCAAGATTGCGACTTAGCAATCTCTTTACAAAGGGCAAAGGGCGCGTTCCAAAAGGGGAACACGCACTGTTTTGCACCTCACCTGTCAGCTGAAGGACGAAAAGGATCAAAAGTATTCGTTTCAGAGTTCAAACTTATTGTACGCATCAGGGCCGTACCCAGAAAAAAATTTCGGGGGGGGAGGGGTTTCGGGGACAACGGCGGCCATTTTGAAAGTGTCTATTGTCTTATTTTCGCCTATGGATCATGTGCATCGGTGGCATATAGTGGAGAGTTACAGCAAACCGGAGAACCGGTCCCGGTTTGTTACCCGGTAGCCGACCGGCGCCACTGCGCATGCGCAGAGGTGGAGATTAAAATCGGCTGGCTGCCAGTGCACCGACCAGGGCCGTACCCAGAAAAAAATTTCGGGGGGGGGGGGGGGTCAGAACCCCCCCCCCCCCCCTCCCCCCCCCCCCCCCCCCCCCCCCCCGTGGTTACGGCCCTGGTACGCATGGTTATTTAGCAAAAGATTGCATACAATCTCCAACTGAATGATCCGAGCAGACGCACAGCAGAGGCCTCAACAAAAGTGGCGTTCTCACTCAAGATGTGAGGCAATGAAAGGACATACCCAGTGTTAAAAACCTCAGGGCCAAAGAGAAGATACATCTTAGAGAAAACACGAAAGCTGTGAACTGTAGTTGCTCTGAAAACACTGATCTCACAAGGTTCAGGAGGTCATCACACACCAAGACGCTTGGCAAAGGATCCACCCAGGTGGCGCCAGCATCGAAATGAAAGAGGGGGAGACTCGTGGGGAGGAGAAAAGAGCAAGAGATTCTCGAGGGAAAGAGAGCAAGGCGCTACCTTCCGTATACAGGGACTTTAATCGTAAGAGATCGCAAGAAGTTGTCGTGCACTTGGTTGTAAGCAGTTGCAAGTGTGTGAACCAGCTTTTAGAGCTGGGTGAACACTAGTGGTGATTTGGACAAGGGATTGCCTCACCTCTGTGATGTTCCTCTGCCACTCGAGGCGCCGAATGGGGGCAGAGTCCAGCGCAGACAGGATGGCCAGGTAGGAGTTGAAGTTGTTGATCTTGCGCAGGTGCTTCATGATCTTGATGAACTTCACGACCACCCGCTCACGCTCCTTTGCGTCGTTCTGCTTCAGGATGCACGACCGAGCCCTGAGGAAGGGGACGAACGAAGTGTGTTTCGGCAAGTCTCTACTCTCTACTGCAAGATATACGGGGTTAGCAGCAAGAATGCTGCTAACCCTGTACATACTACGGCAAGGGCTATATTGGCCTCTTGTTTCCGCATATCAGATGCAAGTTGGTTGGCTCGGGACGGCTCATAACCTGCTGCTTTATAACATGCATTGCAGACCCAACGTGCTTTTGATCACGTTTAAGTATTTGGGTACGATGCTTATCTAAATCAAGGTCTGAATGAGTAGGAATTGTAACCAAACACTTCAAAAGCTGACAAATCTTGGTATTACCATGCAAACGCATTAAGGGAGAAGAATTTTCTTGTTTGCGATGAATTATCGGTACACGGCTCGGCTGTGCTAAAATTGCACCCCTGGGTAAATAACGTTTGACCATAGAGTAAGAAGTGACAAGAGAGTTTGTGTGCTGAAAAAGCTGCAAAAAACCCCCCCGCGCCTAGGAGCCCAGTTTGAGAGTCTATGGTGCTGAAAGTGTGTGCACTGTCAGAGGTTCATGCGTGTCATGCTGTACCATTGCACACCAACACAACCGTATTCACAGCATCGGAGGAAACCAACCAATGCCCAGACTGGCGTGTGACAGTTTGCCAAAATACTTAAAAGTCACGAGGAAGCCATTATTGTAGGACATTGACCACTTTGAGTTGATCTTGCGTCTCTTCTTCAATTAATAGTGATATATGAAAAACAAGACAAATCCACTACTAAAGCTAGTATACCCTGTGAAAGGATAATGCAACAATACTACAGGGTTTAAAAACACAATTCATACAACATGCCGCAGAGAAAACAAAAGAGGACTTTTGAAACCATTGCCGCACATACCGCATGGTAATGTACCGCATACCATGGGGCAACATATTCCTCAGGTTCCCTCCAATTGGTTACCTTCCATTAGAGGTCTGCACAGGTAAGAGCCAGCCCACAAGCCACGGGCCGGCCCGGCCCACGGGCGGGTTCGGGCTTCACGGCTACACTTATGAAGGTCCAGGGCCTGGCATGGGCCTTGCATTCAAGTCTACAAGGCAAGCCAAGGTAAGGCAAGCCAGCAGTTACTTTTTTTTTTTTTTTAGCAGCAATAATGTTTTTGGAAGTTAGTTTGGGGGGGTTGGGGGAGGGACCATAGTGGAGGAGACCCATATGCTGAAAGCATGTCTCTGTGTTTGTATATGTTTTAGTATGGTTTGGTGTGTGTGCAGAGAATGCTCTTTCAGAAACCTAGCGGCGCGGCATTCATTTTCGTCTTCAGCAGCGCCGCCATCGTATAGTCGCTTCTTTCCATCGACGCACACACATACGCGCCTACATCATGCGCACCCTCATCGCAGGCATAAACCATCTGTACGTATGAATGCGTGCATCCACAATATCGGGGAAGGTGCACCTCTGCTAAACAATTTCTCGCAGACCACCCCAAGAGACGGCATTATTTTTTAATAATTTTTTTCGGTTGTACGCAACGGGATTGGGCAATTTAAAACTTTGTCCGTCTTTTGTCCAAACACGTTGCAACATTTCCCTTCCTTCTCAACTTTGACACATATGGTAATGTTCATTGTAGCTTGCATTTGTATTTTTCTGTCGTTTCCGTTTCCGATACGCCGGTTCGGTCGCAAAAAAGGACGATGGGGACAATTTTTTTCCCATCGCCATCGCCCGCCCGCTCGCCCGCCCCCGCCCCGCCCCCCCCCAGATTGAACCGATTAATAATGGCAGCAAAAAGAAAAAAACATGCTAACTGCATTGACTATCAAGTGCCGTAGTCAACATCTGTAGCAGTGTCAAGCGAGATGCCATGCCGCACAATTTGTGAGCTATTCATACTGGGCAAAAATAGGGCAGGCCTCAGCGGGCCCGTGAAACTTAGCATCGGACCGGGCCGGGCCGGCTGTCGGAAATGGATAGCGGTCCGAGGGTGGGCCCAGGCCCGAACGACAGAGGCCGGGCTGAGCAGGGTTTCAATATATCAGCCCGTGCGTACATCTACCTTCCGTTACATCATAGTTAAAGCGCATTTGGAAATGCCCCAAACGAATGTCAGCGTAGTGCGGTGGCTACCACACTTAATGGGTAACTGGGAAATTGGGGAAATTTACGCTACCAGTATCTAGTTTTAGGGCATTTCACACTTTTGAATTTGTTTGCGAGTGAAATGTTTAAAACCCATGTTTTGGGCAAAGTCACCATCATTGGCACAGATAATTTGAAAACACAGCATTTACATGACAACTGCAGTTGTTTGAAGCAACAGTAATAACTCCTGCTCCAAAGAAATGGTGACTTAGAATTATGCATTACAAACATTCTATTCTTAACTTACACTCTACGATCTCCAGAATTGACACTCCCATCATGCATATATAGGCCATTAAAGGGGCAGTGCAAAGGTTTTAATGTTGAAAGAATTGCCAGTTTGCATTTTTTATATTGTTCATACAAGCCCAAGTGACCAAAAACGCGTCACCTTTCCCCAAAAAACGGCTATTCTGCTGCGTAATTGCTAGGCAAAAAACAAATTATTGGCCGATCTGCAGCCGCCGGTGGCGGCTACGGGAACTAAAATGACTGCATCTCTGGGGGATACGCGGAAGTCAACAAACCCTGTCCCCCTCTGCTGCTACACTCGCCGTCAGCCCCGTGGTGAACCATCCTTTGTGTCCATCACTCGCCGCGACCTTCGACGAGGCTAATCCTTTGAAAGTCGACAATCGCAGAGGAAGCGGCTGGGGTCTCTGAAGAGAGGGCCCAAGGGGAAACCATGTGAACCCCCAGAGACGTCACTCGAAAGTCGGCGTGGAGAGTTGAGAGGCACTTCTATCTTCGATTTGTTTCATTTTTTTTAAATAAGAACTAGCGCCCACAAGAAAATGCGGCTTTCGGTTTTTCGTTCCATAGGTGACGCAGATTAATTTCTGCAGTTAATTGGCCAAAGTCTGAAAATCGTTGCACTGCCCCTTTAAATAACAGCACCCACAAAAGAAATGTGAAGGTGGCAATTACCAGTAGGACATCTTGTTGAAGTGCTCCGTGAACTTCGTCAGGTTTGGACTTGATTCTTCATTTTGCTCTTTTGCCCAAATAAGAACTTCGGAGATCTGAAAATACATCCAAAATTCACGTATTTTATAAACTCAAAACCCGCGATTTGCAAGTTTCAACTTTAGTTGCATTGACTGTGGTCTGCTGCTTATGTAACTTAATGTGCAACCAGCAGTCCAATCAATTAATTTTCTTCAGCAGCAACTTTCACTGTGAACTAACTAGTTTTCACCAAGTAACTTTTACCTGTGCTCAACTTCAAACATACCCTAAACTGGGGAGAAAAATAGGGCAAAAAACACATAGCCCAATGCGGAGAGCCAATCATCTGCTTCTTGGGCAGGAGTTGCAGTGACGTCAAAACGATACCGAGCTATGATTGGCTTCGATTGAAAGGAGAGTGGGTAACCCTTGCACCAGAAGCAGACAAACTTGTTGCGCTCCGTATAAACTCGAAACTTTACAGCATGTATGTGTTGTCTTCCTTTTACTGCTGCCTCAGCTGTTATTCAAGATGTCTGACCCCCCCAATTCACTCGCACATTAACCTTTTCCAATTCAGAACCGCTTTACCAGTAACTGTGTTGCATGACCATGCCAGCACAATAAACAATTTCAAAAGTAGCTTTGGAACCTGCCGAGTACTGAACTGGGTGCTCTAATGGCGGCATGACAAAGCTTCTCCATAAGAGTAAAAGTCAATATTTTTGAGAGCATACTGCAGGCGGCAAACAACTGATTTTTAGGAATTCACAGACGTATGTTGCATTTCATTCATTAAGCTGAAGGCACATGGTTTAAGCAATGTCATTCTTCCACTCCTGAAATTAGAGCAGGAGTTCGGGAGCTTTTGACTTCCACTAGGTGGCTCAAACCTTGGAAAAAGGTCTACTGCACAGCCTTCTAAAGCCAAGAACAAAAAAAGGATGGATCTGCTTTCAGTAATATTTGTGCCGCACGACACCATCAGCACCAACACGACATGGGCACATTTTTGTATTCTAGTTTGAAAGGATTTTGGCAGGCATAAAATTTTATTAGGTAGTTGGGTTAGTCATCAAATGAGCACTTTGAACTACACTTGTAGTTTTGATGACAGCCCTTCAATTTTAAAGACCTGTTCACATACAGTCAAACCCGTTTATAACGAACAGCAGTGAACACTACGATCAGTTCGATATAGCAAGTAGTTTGATATAGCAAAAACCATTTACAACGAACTTCCACGATGCGCTCGTAGTAAGGCGGGAGCTTCTCTTTCTTTCTTATCTCTTCGCTTTAACCTTGTAACAACGCTAAAAAGCTTTTTTTTTTTTTTTTTTTTTTCATGGAGGCAGAGTTTGTTTTTTTAGCTGATCTCCCCTGGCCTTTTGGATCACTTCTCTTGGTGGACAACCGCTTTGGGATGAAGTTTTTTTTTCTGTGAGTGCATGCAGAGTGTTTTTTTAGCTTTCTCCCCTTCTGAATCGCTTCTCTTTGTCAATTTTGTTTGCAATTCGAGCTTTTGAAATTTTCTTTCTTTCCTACTTTTTTTTTTGCGGGGGGAAGGGACAGGCTGGAAGACGTCTTGACTTAAACAGCGCAAAAATGTTACGTAAGGAAGAGACAACAGGAAGGAAAGAGCGCTGACTCACAACTGAGGTTTTAATAATGATGTAGTGAAAGAGAAGGAAGGTGTCAAGTGCTGTAATATATTATTAAATTAAAGAAGGTTATAATTATTAACCTCTTTCTAAGGGCCATAAGTCAAGATGTCTATCCAACTCGCCCAGCAACTCATTTTGGCTGGAAGACGATTGTTTGCACGTTTTTGGAAGCTTTCCCGGGAGGAAAAAAGTTAAATATAGCCAATATGTTGTTCGTTATAAAAGTACTTTTTACATGCAGTTTTATTTCAATTTTTCGTGAGTTCGATATCGACAATAATTCGCTGTATGTGGGTTCGTTCTAAACGGGTTTCACTGTATTCTGCAGTGCTAGATCAGCATTATACTCCGTTTCACAATAACTTAGCGAACTGTGGAGTCTAGGGCCCCGCGACCCAATAAGAAGGTCGGAGTGAGGCACGTGACCCAAAGTCACGGGAGCATTTGTGTCAGCACGCCAAATGCGAGTTGTGAAGTCCGGAGGAACCGGCTGTCGTCTGCTAGCCAAGAGTCGTCTGCTCCAAAACCAATCAACTTCGGATGTACGTCCACCGCAGTAACATATCTAACTACTAAAATAGCGAGTACTTCGAGAACAGTTCATGAGACAACCATACACTCAAATTAGCTGCGAATCTGTTACGGGTGCTAATGCCAGGGCACAGTGCAATGTTTTGAGTGGAAAAGGCCGATTACACGGCTGCGATTACTGGCAATCGCTAACAGCCAAGGCGCTACAAGGCGAAAGAAATCGAGCAGATACAGATGTGGCATCACTTTTTTGGTTTAAATATAATTGAAACTCACAAGTTTGTGATTATTTATTCTTTATTCTTCATATCTTCTCATTATAGCTGGAATCGCGCGAGTTCAATTGCCGTTGAAAGAAAAAGAAGCCTAGAACTATTTTTTGTCGCGGAGGGCTCTGTTGCTGTGGCGGTAACGAGGCCCCGGTAGCCTCGACCATGGAGTGTTATCACGTGGCGCCCTTATTGGGTCGCGGGGGCTGCCAAGTTATTGTGAAACGGAGTATAGAAACAGAGTTGATTTGAACGTAACTTAGCACTGATGCAGCCTGCATCAGTGCCGTATCACTGATACAGCGCTAAGCCAATCTGCATCACCAAGGTAAGCTCTATCTGCAGCACTGACGAATAGTGCCAAGGTAGCACTCTGGTCAGGTACGTAGCCAGGATTTTGTTTCAGGGGGGGGCCCACCCATGACAATATGCTGTATGAGGGGGAGGGGTAAGAGGAGGCCCCAGCAAAATGGAAAATTTTGGGGCAGGGGGGGGGGGGGGCCCGGGGCCCCATTGCCCCCCCCCTGGCTACGTGCCTGACTCTGGTGTACCTGTGTGAACAGGCCTCTAGAGAAAGAGTAGAAACTACGGAAAAATTTTGTTTGAATGCCCTCTCCCAAGATATCGCTCATCCCGTTTGTTTGAATAAATATTCATTACATGAAAATTCCGAAACATCGCCAACCCCCGATTCCCGTCGGACATTCCGTGATGTCCGACGGGAATCGCATCGACTGCGTAATCTGCGGCACAGGTAGGTGTGACGAGTGAATTCATAGTACGTTCCCACGTTTTTGTCTGCGAGAGCACGCAATGTTGGTTTCTGTGACGTCCATTCCCCTGCTGTGATGTGAGAGTTCGTAGCGGGTTCCTGCACATCGTTTGTGTGATCTGCATGGGCGATATCAGTTCCCATGGCATGCAAGTTGTAGTGCGTTTCCGTGCACTTATCACACCGTGAAATGCGAATGTCCTGTGTCCGCAATTTGTGGTATCCTTCTACGTGACATGGGAGTTTGTAGCAAATTTCCACGCATTTATCGTGTCAAAAAACCCAAATTCGTTGTGTCCGCAATCTGCAATGTCACTTACTGTGTCACGTGGTTTGTAGCGGGTGCCCGTGTTTATCATTATTTTTGACAAAGTTATGCTCCCTCATGCCCAAAAATTACTCACCTCATATTTTTCACTCTTTATTTCTTCATTTTGGGTGGGCGTTCTTACGGGAGTTTACGGTATGCTCTGTTCACCCCCAAGTTGACAGCGCAGCGGGTGCTACGAGAACACTAGACCATTCGACGGCCTTCGTTTTATCGCCTGACCAAGCTTTCTGTGCATGGGTATGGGTGGAAGCACCATGACGTGGCAAAAGATGAATGCACAACTGGTTCAGCGAGCCTGTAGTATAGTAGCCGCTTGTTTGTGCTAATGAGGTCGCACGGTGAACTATCGCATTCAACCTGGGCCAAAACAGACTTTTAAACTTTCTTGGTGCACCTGCAAGTTCTTGAGAGAGCTTCCGTCAAAAGTAGGAACATAATGCAAAGTTGAGGTCCCACAGTTTGGGCTCGGACCAATCAAGACATAACAGGACTCAACGGGGATCAGACACGCGGGAGAAGGCCCGGTCGGGTGGTTCGGTCCATGCTCATCGAGACGGCACGTTGAAAAGAAAAAAGGACGCTCACGTCGATCTTGTGGAAGAGGTGGGCGTCGAGCAGGGTCATCTGCTCGGCCAGGAGCTCGGACTTGAAGTGGAGCAGGGTGGCCGGCTGGGTGGTGACCCGCAGGTCGGACAGGCCCCCCGCAGAGGGCCCCCAGCTGCGCAGCCGTGCGTGGGCCTCCCACTTCTCCACCACCTTGGCCCGGAGAGCCCTTGCCAGGCTCAAGTCCCCCCGCTCCACCAGTTGGTGCGAGAAGGACGTCAGCCGCCGCACCATCTCCTCCCCGGCATCGCTCAGCCTGGAATGCATTAATGTGAAAGGTTCTTTGGCTAGGTGTTCGGCATTTCGTGAAGCCCAGATATAAGCGTGGCCGCGAGGCTCGACACTGATTGGATGACGGGCGGGAGAGGAGGAGTGAGGTGCTCGACGCTGATTGGTTAACGGGGAGGTCATGTGACCAGAGGTGTAGGCGAGGAGGAGCTCGACCAACTGTGCGCATGCTGGAGATTATGGAAGGCTCTGGAAGATTGCCAGGTTTGTCAGCCCGATTAGCGGTAGTATCGCTTCATTCTAGGAACAACTATCAAGTGTACACATGGTACGGATTAAACTGTCTGATGAATGTGCCGTGAACATAGGCGTCTGGAAACTAAGAGAGCCTAACATCTCTGATCGTAGTAAGACATTTCACGTATGAAACACAAATGCCTAGCAATTTGCCATAAATTTTTTCAGTTGAATGTAATGCAAGGTGTTCTTTTTTTAATGCACCTCTTCATGCTTGAAATGTGAACCATGGAATCCAGATCCATCAAATCCGGCAGTTTGTGATATTCACTTGGTGTTAACCTTCACGGTTGACTTTAGGATAACTCAACTTCTGTAGGAGAAGCAATTCAAAATAGATCTGTTCACTTCATATTTCCTAAGTATAATAAACTAGCATGCAGGTCCCGTTCTATGCGTCTCTATAAGAGGAAACTCCCGGTAATTTAAACTTCGCATTTTTCGAACAAAGTTATGGTCCCTCTGGGGTTCAAATTAACAAAGTTCCACTGGTAAAAGGAAAATGAAAAAAAAGGCACTGACCCGAGGTCATCCACGACGCGCACCAGCAGGGAGAACGCCCAGCGGGCGTACTTCTGGCGCGTGTCCGAGAACTGGATGAACTTGTTGTAGCGGTAGATGAGCTTGCTCACCAGCGCCATGGGGCTCACAAAGCTCTTGTACGTCGTCAGGAAGGCCTCCTGGTAGTAGTACTCCTTGTCTGCGCGGTGCCGCACACACCCCCGTGAAACCTTTTTCGGGCATCTCTGGCATACATCTTTTCCCTCATATAATGCTATCTACTACCACAGTCTCATGTAACACTACATGAAATACATCTCATACGGCACTCTTAGAACACCGCATAATCTAGAAATTTCTGGAGTGAAAAGAACCTTCCTTCGGGAAAGGTTTATCGAATGTGGTAACTGCTTCCTCGTCGCATTGTTTCTTCATTCCTTCCTTTGCAACTTGAAAGTGAGTCTGAACAGTTCATGATGATGTATGCAGGACTTTTCTTGCAACTTTGGCATAGATCTAATGCTAAGCCACAGTATTTCTGCTGGGATTTTGAGCCCTGGAACAAAAGACTCACCAACATTTTCCCGCACGGCGGTTGCATGAATAATCAAGGCATCTACCGGGCCTCCCTTGAGTCCCCTCACATCATCAGGCTGAAAGAAAACAAAGGTGTGTCACTGATCGAGTTGCACACTGCTGATGTTTCACACATTTGGAACATCCAGCTGACAATTAATTGTAGAAGAAATTGACAAACCCAGTACGGAATCACAAATGGACAGAGCTATTTGTTTTGTGTCTTTTATAGCATGCTGAAAAATGAGAACAGCATCTGAATATACTAGTATAATGTTTTATCAGTGAAAATATGGGTGACACGCTGCCAATGCACAGATGTCAAACTGCTTTCACAAAGGAGCTACAGGAAATAATCTACTCCCTCATCTCCTCTTACCCCTCAATAGATGTTTCTCTACCATCAGCTGCAGAAACGGTAATAGATCCTTTCACAAATTCAGTGCCATCTAGTGGCTAAAATATCAGTCTAAGTTTGTGTAGGCCTAATGGCGCGGTTAAAATCTACTAGTACCAATCAGGTCGATGGGAGATGTGTGAAAGTTATGGTGTTCTCCACTGTACAGCTATTTCTTTATTTGTTTCAGTTTTCATGGTGTTAAGAAACTACCACTCTGTTCGAGGTGCTTAGTTAAATAAAATTCTCGCTATTCTTTACATTTAATTGTCCTAAGCTGTCTAGGGAGTGCAGAAGCTGAGCATTCAAAGGTTTTAGTACGTGACACCCTCAAAAGCATAGCGCATAGAAGCATGTCACAGTAACATGAAACAGCAATACAGCAAACTAACGTCTGGAATGTTCAAGTGTCCGTCCTCAAATTCTTGCTTCACCAGCCACCAAAGACCGCCATCAGCATGTACAGATGATATACACTTAGATGATGATATATCGAGGTGGCCAGGCTGAATTTCAGGAAGGGTCCATTACATTCTGTCATGCACTATGCAATTGCCATTACGCCATCATGTAATCTGAAAATCAAACAATATGAAAGAACAACAGTTACATTATCGCTGAAGATGAGGTGTTCGCTGACATCTTGCTGGTCCATCATGCTCTCTCCATTCTCATCAGGCAGCATATCTTCCATCGCTTTCATCGGCTGGGCCACACTGGACAGAAGGTCAAAGCACCATAAAGCAAACAAAGAAGCTTGCAAAATATTCACAGCCTGGTATGCTGTAGAAACTACAAAGGTGCTATTAATACACAAATATATACAAACTGTACAACACTATAAATATCTTGGTATTACCTTTAACAAGAAACTGACAACATTGTGAAGAAGGTGAGAAGCTTTTTACTCTTGGACAAACACTTAAATTTGCAAGCACTGAAACAAAAAGTACCGTACACCACACAAAACACTAATTAGGCCTATGTTGCAGTATGCTAGTTCTATTTGGTTTCCCCACAAGGCAGATGGATTGAACAAACTGGAAGGCGTCCTAAGGAAGGGAATTAGAGTCCTTCTCAACTCATTCATAAACCATATTTATATATGTAACACTTGCTTAAAAAAGCCAATGTTCAAACATTGGAAGCTCAGGCAACGATAAGCAGATTAAAATGCTTGTAGTAATATTCCTTCCTTCGTACTGTCAATACTTATATCACGTTCTCATCCACCGGGCTGTCCAAAATCAAAAATATCAGATCTACCCAGCAGTACAAATTCAACCACAATGTTTCTAAATTGTCAATTTGCCTCGGGTAATACAATAATGGAATTTGCTAGATCGGTGGTTCTCAAATTGGGGTCCGTGAAGGCATTTTAGGGGTCCGTGAAGCCCAGCCTCATCAGTCAAGTCCAACAATAAAAGCTGTCTTTTCTCACATTGAGAAGAAACGTCCCATTTTTCGGGCGAGTTTTCTCGTGTATATGTTAGTAAGAGAAGTGTAATTCACACTAGCCCTTAGTTATATCCATTTATTTAATCATTTTATAATGAACCCATACATTTTCATTCTCCTCGCCACGAAAAGGGTCCTCCATCATCTCCGCCGACCCACAAGGGGTCTGCGAATCATCAATGCTTGAGAACCGCTGCGCTAGATAATGACGTAGTAACACTTTCTTCAATTGAGAAATTTACTGATACCATTAACATTTTTAATTAGATCACTTTTGTGTACATGCTCCTTTTTGTGTATATATTTTTAAACCACTCTTTTGTGCATGTCCTTTTTTCTGTATCTTTTAACCATGTATGTCAATCCTGCTATGGCTTTTAATTAAGAGATGCAGTATTCCTAAATAAAAAATTTAAAAAAAAGCTTGGGAAGCCAGGTTACAATGAAAGAAGGTTGAGCACAAGTTGCTACTTAATATGGTGGCACTAAGAAAAAGCTCTCCTAAAAATAGTAAAGCACAAAAAAAAAAGATTAGCATAGATTAGATTGTTGCGCCAAAGTTCAAAGTATCTAAGGTCATCTTGAAGCATAGGAGCACCATTTCAAATCACACTTCAAACAAACATCACCAAAGCCCTTACTAAACACAGAATTAGCGCTTACATCATTAAGGTCATTACTATGCCAGAGACCAACACTCTTTGATATATTTCACCTACCCTAGGTTACACAAAACCTTTCAGTACACCTTTTAAAAACTTGCAGTTCACTCCACCAGCACCGAAGATCATTAATATAAGGTTTTGTCTGACTGGACAGCCACATTACGCACGGTAGGCACATAATTGGTCTTGTCCACTTCAGGTTAGATGTGCGAGAGGGAAACTTGATTCAGACTTGCCCGGAATGTATACATGGTTGCATGGCCTCTCCTAAGTTTAACACTATTCGCATATCACCGTAAATATTTTTCATCACTTTAAAATATGATTGCATTACTGTTATTAAATGTGTGCAGTTTTCTACATCATACAACTATTTGCTTAACCTGACATTTTGATGATTTCTATGTAGGTATTTTCAGTGTCTTCACTATCAGCGAGTGTCATCCTAATATCTCAATAAAATTGGCCCAAACGAGCCAAAATGCCTATAAGCACAGATGGCTTTCCAGTAACCATTAACATGCATTTACTGAAATAAAAACCATTGAATTGAAGCTTAATTGAATTGCAAAGGGTCTACTACTGGAAACCTTAGCACAATAGTGCACATTAACCAAATTACCAGGCATGTGCGAATAGTAGATTTTGAGTTCAAAGCGAATTCAAAGCAAATAATGGTTTTGGCCAAATATTTTCGTACCGAATATCAAATAGTTTTACCAAGCCTTCCCCCACCATGCACCATGCTTAAACAACAATTAAACTGAACTAGTAGTGATGGTTGTTCTTCACCTTCTACTTGTCCACTTCTAACCTCAGTTAATTTTAATATAGCTAAACTGATGCACTGTGGCACGTACATGACAAATTTGTCAAAGCTATCCCAATTGAGGGGATTTATAAATCTGCTTGCCATATGCAAATCTTTTTTCAATTTCAAATGTGACAAAAAAAAAAGAAAAACATGAATGATTAACGTGGGCTATCAAGACATTGCTGCGTACCATATAGTTTTTGCATAATCGCGGCGGGTTAGCCCTGTTAAGTGTGCTTCCCACCGAGCATTTGTGCACCGCGAGAAGCAATACCCACAAAGCCTGCGAGCTTGATGGGTAAAGCTTCCCCAACGTGCACAGGTGCTCAGTGAGAAGCGCACTCAACGGAGCTCACCCGCTGCAATCAATACATGTACTCGTATTCACCTCTAGAACCGTAGTAAAACAAGTCGCCCCCTCGCGGAACATTACTGAATTAATATTTATGTAGATAAACCTTAGATTAGCTTTATGCTAATTTATCAAGACATGCAAGTTTCAAACGCCAAAAACATGGCTTCTTTCTCAGACATTCAAATCTTGACAAAACTACTTCATGCAGCGCATGAATAATGTGCAAAACTTTCTAACTTGATGCGACGGGTATAGAAAAGTATAAATATCGCAGTACATCCTGAAGCGAATATCGAATAGCGTAGTATTCAAAACTAATATGCATTTGAAAATTAGAATATTCGCACAATGCCAAAAATTACACATCTTTTCCCTAACAATGTTCATTCGAGTAATATCTCTATTTACAATGAGCCTTTCTGAGCTTCGGGACTGACGCCTTGCACCTCTCTTCTGGTTTGACATTTATTGTTTTGCAATCCCAAATTGGTATGTTTGCCACCATAAATACACAGGTGTACTGCAGGCAGATGTCCACACAGCAATTGAATGCGCACAAATCACGACTCACTCCAAGCAACCTCCGGAACCGAGGGACGTGTACGACTGCCGCGAAGGGAGCAGCATGTTGTTCTCCTGGACACCGAGGGAACTACTCTGCAAGTACCAAAGGAACAGCAAGAGGGTAAGACAGGTGTAAACTTCTGCCAACTTTCAACCGTCACTCACTAACAGATGTTGTTTTCATATTCATACAAACTTTGGGCACAGCTCAGACCATTTTTTTCCAAATCCCCGGTTAGATTTCTGTTTTTTATTCGCAAGCTGGGTGTTGCTTGAACACGACGAACACTTGGAAAGTCTGCCACCTCACTTCAATGTCACTCCTACCTGAATAGCTCATGATAATAAACTATGTTAGGGCATAACAGTCTCATGTTATACATACATATGAAAACAGTCGTGCCTACAAAAGTTCCAACATCAGCTATGCGAAGCGCAAATTTGTCTGCTTGTTTTGCAGGGGTTGTGGTGACGTCAGAATCCTGAGCTCTGATTGGCTCCAATTGAAAGATAGTGGGTAGACCTCAAGGCAGCTTGCTTTGAGATCTACATACTATCCTTCAATCAGGACTAATCAGAGCTCGGCGCGCTGACGTCACCACAACCCCTGGAAAAGAAGTAGACGAATTCGTCGCTCTAAGAGCTTGACCGCAGTCATTGATCGTGAGCGTACGGGGCCGGTCGCCCGGCTGCAACGCACCCTGTTCTTCTTTGGGGGCAGAGCGGGCGGAGAACCCAGTTCAAATTGCAGTGGCGAAGCGAAGTCGTGCAGGAGGCCGGGGCTTGCGAGGAAGTCGTCGCTGCCCAGGCTGGTGAAGTGCGTCTGCTTGTAGTGGGTCGTTCGGCACGAGTACTGGATCCTGCTGTTGAAGAAGTCCGTCTCCGGCTGGGAGTAGCCGCCAAACGTCTGGATGTACTCCATGACTGGGACGGAAGGCAGACAGAAAAGCACCGTTAGTGGGACGTTCCAGCACAATTCGCAAAACCGTGCAAACAATTTTTTGCTAACCTTACTTATGGGTGGCCATTCCCTCATTAGACAGTAAGGGATCTCTGCATTTTAGGAAAACCTCCCACTAACTTTTAAAGCAAGTTGCAATAACGTGTCGGCAGGTTGTTGGCTTTTGTGAGAACCAGCAACCTCGCCAGGATACATTGACTACCGTAAAATACCGGGCAAGTGCCCACTCATAATTTAGAGATAATAGCTAAAAAATGGGGGATGGGTGCTTGTCCAGTCATTAATTTTACATATCAATGTACTGTGCATATTTTCTAAAATCTTACAAATTTGGGTATGGGCGCTTAGTGTGGAATGGGCGGATGCGCAGTATTCTACAGTAAGCAAAATAGAGATGTGAAGCTGTCGAGGGTTATCACTGCGATAACTTTTGAAAAGGTCACCCGACCCCGTTCTTTCCTTGGGGTATGAGGTCGAAGTACGATCATACGGTGAATGATAGATGTATGACTGGTCCAATGGGGGGTGAATAGAGTACAGCAAGGACCACACCAAAAATTTAGACATGTGCAGCCAAGAGAGCCAGGGAGTGAGGCACGCACTCATCTTCTTCTTGGGAGGCAGCGGGGGCGGCCGGCTGTCCTCCAAGTCGACGACGTTGTTGCTGGAGGGCGAGCAGGGCAGGCAGCTGTGGTGCGGACACGAGGGCTCGTGGCTGCCCTTCTCTGACTGCAAGGTGTCGCTCCGCGCCCAGTGCCACTCCTTCCCGCCCAGGCTGTCCATGGTGTCCTGAATGCCACGCGCAAAGTCCTCGGTCATGACGGGGTAGAGAAACGGGTGATCGGCGTAGAGGTCACGTCAGTGTTACAAAAAGCGGCGTTAAGGAGCTACGTGATGTTACGTGACTCTTGTGTCACGTGGCCTCATTGCATCACGACATCACGCACACACACACACATACACACAAATTTCATCTGCAACACATTCTGCATGTATCCCAGTTTATCAGATGTGATTGAAATGTGCTTAATTGTAAGATATTGCAGTCTATAAATGTATGAATGCTTTTGTCTGACTTAAAAAGGGAAGCTGGCATCGAGCATAAACTTTTTATTTTAGAGCTATCTGAATGAAACTGTCAAGGTATTCATAGCGCATATATAAGAGTAAGTGCTGAGTTTCATAAATTTCTGTACATAAATTCTTAAGTTACACTTTTGTTTTTTTCAGTAGGTGTCACGTCTTTATTTTTTATTCCAGGCCTGGAGAAATAGGAAAACGTCGTAGGAAAGTGAAATTTATAATGAACATTCCTGGATAGCACCCCAGGGCATGACAAAGCTTTTTTTAATAATATATTTTCAAAAATCTTTTTGCACAACACTGAATTTTATGTTGTTGGTCGTATCCTCATTTATCAAATTTAATTTGAGTGTTATAAATTTTTAACAGTTTTCGAAAAAAGGAAGCAAGCATGTTATGACCTCATGATGTTATTTAGGAACAGAATAAGGAAAACTGCAAGCAAATTCGTTAAGGGGGGACACTACCCAAAACAGTAAATTTTTGAACCACTTGTCGCATTTAAATTATATTTACACTGCTTGTTTCTGTTGATGTTGAGAACATTTCTGCCAATTTTTGTTAACCTGGGTGAAGTACGAAAAAAATTGCGAACGTTCAAAGACAAAAGTGGGCGTGTCTGCTTAGGAAAACTATTGTTTTGAAATTACTTATAAATTTGTTGTTTTCATGTGTTACATTGCATTAGGACAGTTCAGAGCAGATAACTATGGAGCTATATTTCTATGTTATACCATCTTTCATGACAAAAACATAAACACAAATACAGTTTTTTAGATTTCCATCCTTTGTCCAAACTTTTAGTTCTTGAGCATGAAAAATGACAAAAATAAAAAATACAAGCTCATAGTTATCTTCCCCTTAAAATTTCACCCCAGAAAAACTCATAAAAATGAATCCAAGTTGCGTAATAACAAAACGATAGTTTTCCTAAAGTGAAATTTATGCCAAAAAGTGGAATGGAGAAAAATGTGTTCAAAGTGCTCCAACCTCTACCTTTCTTTAGCATCGGAGGACCGAAAATAATTTATAAAAAATTAACTATGCAGTGTGTTGTGTATAGAGGGCGCTGAACTCATGCATTACCAATTGTATATAAGAGCATCACCATCGGCATAAAGATCAGTCAGCGTCCAGTGCCTGCCTCGTGTCAGTTCTTGTTCTGCGGCCTTCCGGCCGCGTTCGCCGGTCTACACCACATTGGCGCAGTCGACAAAAGCACAACCTCGGCAGCAGTCAAGATGACAGCCGTTCTTCGCAACTAGTACGCGAGGGGCGTTACCCATTAACGCAAAGATGAATACGCTCGGGCTGCCATCGTTAGCCCCGTTTTTGGAGGCGCCGGGAGACCCGGCAGTGCCATGGCGGCAATGGCGAGAGGACTTCGAGATCTTTCTGCAGGCGACGGAAATGGACGCGAAACCGCCAGCACAACGAAAGGCGATACTTCTACAGTGTTTGGGGGTGGAAGGTCGAAGAGTGTTTCGCACGTTGGTTCCAGAGCCTGCGGCTGCACCTGCACCACCGATAACTGCTGCTGCAACCGGAAGTGCGCCGGAGAAGACCACATCAAAAAGGGGTGAGCCGGACGACTACACCGATGCACTTCGGTTGTTGGAACGACATTTCACGAACACTCTGAATGTGCTTGTCGAACGACGGCGATTCATGTTGCGACGACAGCGTCAGGAGGAACCGATACGCGCGTACGTCAGTGCCCTGCGACAGCTCGCGAGTACTTGCGACTTCGGGGACTTTCTTGAGGCAGCGCTGCGGGATAAAGTCGTCGACGGAGTACGGAGCGTGGAGCTAAGACAGAAGCTGCTCATGAAAGGTTCACAGCTCACGTTGGGCCAGGCCATGGACATCCTACAGACGTTCGAGCAGGCAGCGGAAGGTGCCCGTGTCTACGAGGAGGGGCGTGACGCTGCCATGGTTCAGCAAGTCGAGAGGGCAAGAAATCGTTCAGGAACAGGAGTCAGCGGTTCTTCAACAGTTCCGGACCGCAGGTGTTACAGATGCGGTGCTTCAGGACACCTAGCCAGTGCACGGGAATGCAGAGCGCGAGATAAGCGGTGTTCGAGGTGTCACAAGGTGGGACATTTTCAAGCGGTATGTAGAAGTACCGGGCAAGCGCGGGTGCAAGCGGTTCAGGACACGGACGGAAACGAAGAGTTGGGTGTCCTAACAGTCACACAGAACGAGCGAACCACTCTGATAGTCGACGTTTGCGTCGAGGGCGAAGTGATTCAGCTTGTCGTGGACACAGGCTCGTCAGTGTCTATCTTGCCAGCAAACATCTATCAAGAAAAATTTGCAAGACGGTTCGCCTTGGCTCCAGCAACGGTGACTCTGCGGGACTTTTCACAGCAAAGAATTCCAGTCTTGGGATGTTTTGTGGCTCAAGCGGCACGTGGAGGCGTGTCGTCAAACATTCGCTTCTATGTGGTGTCAAGGGGCATGGCGTTGCTGGGACTGGATGCGGTGCAACAACTACGACTGCATATCGACGGCGCATCGCTGGCGTGCCTACAGACAACGGCGGGGCCACAACCTCTGCCTCCTGAACTTAGTGAGTTTTCATTCCTCTTTGCGGGGAAACTGGGACTTGCTAAAAACGTGGTACACGAAGTTAAACTGCGTCCCAACGTCAAACCAGTATCAGCAAAAGCTAGGCGATTACCGTTGATGTTGCGAGAACAAGTCTCTGCTGAGTTGTTAAGATTAGAGCGTGAAAGCATTATCGAACGGGTAAACGCTTCTGAGTGGGTGTCTCCAATAGTGGTGGTAAAAAAAAAAGACGGGAGCATCCGACTCTGCGTAGATTTACGGGAGCCAAACAAGGCCATTGTCGTTGACGGCTTCCCGTTGCCGCACACGGAAGAGCTTTTGCACGCTTTGAACGGAGCAGCATGGTTCTCAAAACTGGACCTGGCGTCAGCCTATCACCAGGTCGAGTTGTCAGAAGACAGCCGGGCACTGACGACGTTTGCCACACATGAGGGACTGTTTCAGTTCCGTAGAGTCTGTTTTGGCCTTGCTTCGGCGCCCGCCGCGTTTCAGCGGATGATGGAAGAAATATTGAAAGGTTGCAAGGGCGTCCTATTGTATATTGACGATATTATTGTCTTTGGCAAAAATAAGAAAGAACACAACAGTCATCTGCGCGAGGTCTTGCAGCGAATAGCGGCCGCTGGCCTGCAATTGAACACGAAATGTGTCTTCGGGGTAGAGGAATTGTCGTTCTTGGGTCACCATGTGAGCGCAAGGGGTCTCGCACCCCTCAAATCAAAAGTGGACGCGATTATCAATGCACAGACGCCAATGGATTTGGTGGGATTGCGTTCTTTTCTTGGGCTCATGGGATACTACTCTCATTTCCTCCCTCATTATGCAGAAGTGGTGGAGCCACTGCGGCGCTTTCTTCGCAAGGGCCAGGAGTTCATCTGGGACCAGAACGCTGAGGAAAGCTTCGGCAAGGCTAAGAACCTACTAGCGTCGTGCAGCGCAGTATCCATGTTTGACCGGTCCTTACCTGTACAGGTAACAACTGATGCATCGGCATATGGGCTGGGAGCGGTACTGCAACAGGTGATCGACGGTGAGACGCGTACGATAGCATTTGCATCAAGGACGTTGACGCCACAGGAACGCAAATACTCTACGGGAGAACGAGAAGCCCTGGCATGTCTGTGGGCTTGCGAGCACTGGCATGTGTACTTGTGGGGCAGAAATTTTGTGCTGCGAACGGACCACCAGGCATTGGTAACATTGCTCTCTACTAATGGCACCGGAAGGCGGCCACTTCGGATAGAGCGGTGGTGTGCAAGGCTGATGAGGTACAATTTTACTGTACAATACACGAAAGGAGAAGATAATGTAGTCGCTGACGCACTCTCCCGGTTGCCCTTGCTGTCCACAGAGTGCGACCCAGTAGAGGAGGTCATTGCTGTGGTGTCAAGCGTGGTAACAAAGAACCAATTGCAAGTGGAGACAGAGAAGGATGGCGTGTTACGGGAGGTGATGCAGTATGTCACATCTAGGTGGCCAGAAAAGAAATGTCTGTCAGGAAAGCTACTATCATTTTGGCGGATTCAAGAAGAGCTTTCTGTTCTGGAGGGGGTGCTGTTTCGTGCAGAGCGGGTGGTGCCTCCATCGACATTGGTGTCCAGATTCATCATGATGGCCCACGAATCGCATCCGGGCATCGTCAGGACAAAGCAGCGACTCCGGGAGCAGTATTGGTGGCCTGGGATGGACGAAGACGTGGAAAACTGCATTAGAAGCTGCGCTGTGTGCAAGGCATCAGACAAGTCTGCAAAGACCGCGGTGGCCCCTCTACAACCAGTGCAATGGCCCGAAAAGCCCTGGGAAAAGCTGGGCATGGATATTGTGGGCCCGATGGAACGAGCCCCTCCAGAGTGCAGATTTGCAGTAACTGTGATTGATTATCACAGTAAGTGGCCGGAGGTTTTTTTTGTGTCGTCGATAACTTCTCAGTCGGTGACGAAAGTGTTACTGGAGCTATTCGCGAGGGAAGGATACCCAAAGAGTGTTGTCACTGACAATGGCAGACAATTTATGTCGACACAGTTTGAAGGGTTCCTACAAGACAGAGGAATTGAACACTGTGTGGCCTCGCTGTACTACCCGCAGTGCAACGGTCAAATAGAACGATTTAACCGCGTCTTAAAAGAGTATATTCAGGTGGCGGCACTGGAGCGCAGACCACTTAAGGAGGCAATTCTGGAATACCTGAGTATTTACAGGGCAACTCCCCATGCGACCACCGGCATGTCTCCGGCGTTTTTGCTACACGGAAGGCGGCCACGAACAAGACTGGACGTCGTGGGACTACCGGAGAGAGGGTTTTTCGATGAACCGCGGCCTCACGTCGCCGAACTGCAACGCCGTGTCAAAGAGCGACAGCAGAGGACAAAGAATTACACCGATGAAAGACGGGGTGCCAGGCACTCCATCATTGAACCCGGCGACTTCGTAAAAATAAAGAGGTGGGGAGGACCAAAAGGACAGCAGAGGTTTTCTTTGCCAATAGAAGTAAAAAAACGCGTGGGAAAAAATTCCTTCCTTTTAGACAATGGGAAGAAATGGAACGCTGCCAAATTGACAGTAGTGGCCAAAGGAGGAGCACCAGGTGCCCGGAACTTGGTAGAAAAAGTTATGGAACGACGTGGAGCGGTAAGAGACCAGTTAGGCGACCTGGATTTGCCCACTGAAGAGGGGGCATCACAACTACCATCACCACGGGACGTCGCAACTGCCAGAACCCCAGAGACATTATCGCCAGGCGACGACAGCGCTACCGTCGCTACGCACGGAGTGGGAGCTGCACGGGGTGCTGAGACACTTCCAGACTCTACACTTCAGGAGACTGAAATCTGGTCGACACCAGCAGAGTCGGCGCCGGCACCAGAGCAAGTCGAAGCGCAGGACATCTCCGGCCAACAGGAGTTGTTGACCACGGCACCGTCGTACAGCAGGCCTCAGCGACAAAGAAGAATGCCCGGAAAATACAACGATTATGTTTTACACTAGAATGATCTGTTATAGTGGTTCCAGAGCTATGTGAATAACTGTAATTATTGTGTTCTAGTTACTGGGGTTTTGTTTGTTTAAAGGGGGGAAATATGTTGTGTATAGAGGGCGCTGAACTCATGCATTACCAATTGTATATAAGAGCATCACCATCGGCATAAAGATCAGTCAGCGTCCAGTGCCTGCCTCGTGTCAGTTCTTGTTCTGCGGCCTTCCGGCCGCGTTCGCCGGTCTACACCACACAGTGTAAACTAATGAAACTTTCTGGGAATACTCTCTAGATGTTGGTGGATGTAAATATGACATTTTTCAAAATCAACTTTTTTTTGCAGAAATTGTTTTTTCTGGGTAGTGTCCCCCCTTAATCAGTTCCCGAGATAGCGCTGCGATAAGCGCCAATGCCAGTGAAAAACTCAATTTTGAGAAAATGGCAGTTCAAAGTTACACGCACATTTTCACCATTGAGCTCATTTCACGTATAGCGCGATTCTGCATTCAATTTTCATTCTCGTGTGGCAAAGAACTTGTGGACACAGCACACATGCACATAAGTCACTGTCCACGGCTTTTATTAATTTCTTTTCTCTCGAGCAAGCAATGTTGCATCCGAAAATCAGGAAAATCGCAAGTAGGATTGCGTCACGTGAAACGTTTTCACCCCCTGGCGTACCTGGAAGTGTCCTTGCATACTTTCTTTTTGTTCTATCATTGTCTCTGCCTGGTCCTCTCTTCCCACTTTAACAGAGCAAAAGCCAGAGAGGAGGTCGCTTCCTCTCCAGTGTTTGCTCCGCTGAAGTGGAAAGGGGTGGGAGAAGTGTCCGCTCAACTCTTAACCCGTCACCGACCGTAGTAGAGTGAATTTATTTGTATATAAGGAAGAGCTATCTAAAAAATTGTAGAGCCATCCACTTCACGTGAAGATAGAAGACCAGCGAAGCTGTTATCTTTACGACAACTTTACAAAATCTTTACGACAATTTTACGACAATTATACGATTTACGTATGATTGCAATAAAGACATGTACATGACTTCGTTGTTTAAATGTATTTAATTCTTAGTGACTAAAGTGATCATTGTCTTATGGTCACTTAAGGGCGAGTTCTAAACCCAATTTTTCGACATACAAGTAAAGGACAGTTTTTTACAATTGAGCCCAAGTCTCTTTATCAACATCGCGGAAGCGAAAGAAAAAAGAGATCGGCGCATTCTGCCCTCAGCCCCATCACAGCGCACTCTTTGCTGAGATAAGTTGGTGACCGTAGATGATAACAAGGTGTCTGGACCTCACCATCTAATAATGCCAAGGAAGGCTGACTTACGCGGTTGCCCTATCTTTTTATTTATACTTGCCACGACCAATCCGAACAAGGGAGCGCCGTTTAAACGAGAGTTTTTGGTTGACATCCATGGAAGCATTTTTTGCAGATCCTAGCAAATAGCAGCTTCGCTGTAAAATTTACTGCACTATAGGCAGGTCCCACTGCACCATGGCCATCACTAGAAAGGGGTCTATGTGGTACAGAAGCTGGTAGGAGGCGGAAGCAGGACCCACCTCGGCGTCCGAAACGTTGTCGTACTGGGAGGGCGTCCTGACCTTGGCGGAGCGCTGCTTCGCGGGAAGTGCTGGCTTGTCGTCAGGAAAACGATGAGCCAGCGGATCTCCAAGAGATGAGGCCTTCAGCTCAAAGGACTGGTGGCTCAGAGAGGCTAGGGTCCTGTCCATCTGGAGGGACAGAAGAGGTGTCATGCACGGCGAAATACTGAGAAGAGCTGCCTTGAATCATGTTCAAGGGAACAGCACAACTCTGAACAGTCTCATAGAAGGTGTGCTTTCCCCTGGTGTTGGTTTTAGTATGTTATGTCAAATATATTTAAGGCCTTACTTGTCCCTTTCTGCTAAAAGGCGTCGGCACTGTGCCCTAAAGATGGATCATAAAATATGTCATCAAGCACGAGCCGCTCAACGTCAAAACGGATGCGCCTCAGAAATAAAACACAAAGAAAAGCACAGCAACACAGATGCTTCCTCACGGAAGCCGTCGTGAAACCAGCGGGGTTCACCGCGCTCGCGCAGTGAGGGAGCATGATGTGACCGCTGGAGCGCAGTGCGAAAAATGAAGACATGGCGCTGCTTGCAGGAATGCGCTGCATGTGGGAATACTTTCGCATTCCCTCACGTAAGCAGTTTTAAGTGCCTCTGCCGAATTTTTATTTCATCCTTCCAGATGGACAAAAAAACAATCTCACAGAAGACTCTGAGACAGCTGTGTTTTCCTTTTACTGTACTGCCAGCTAGTTTAGCTCTTTCTTATAACTTGAATTTACGAGTTTCTAGACTCATTAGAAGCTTGTGTGCATACAGGCCCTTGGTGTTGACATCATTAGCTACTAACAGCGAAAGAGAGCTGCTATTCATCCAGTGACGAAGATGGTGCTGACTTTGCACATCGCAGCAGCACGCCTGGGTAGACAATGCTCAAAAAGAACTAGAAAGCATGTGCAGCACTTCAAGCATTCTTAAATGTTGTGAATTCTCGATACTAGCACAATTTGAAGATAATAGGAACAAAACCCCAAAATGACACAACTGCAGTGCCTCATTTGCAACAGTAAGCACACAAAGGAAACTTTAAAAAAAATTTGCAATTGCATATGCTTGCCCCCATAAACAGGGACATAAAAGCAGCCAGATTGCCTCGTTTGCAACTGTGTACAGTGAAATCTCTTTACAACAAAAGCCCCTTTAACAAATTTTTCAGAATTACGAAAATTTTGAAAATTCCTTGCTAAATGCCTGTACTAGCAATGTAGAAATATTTCAATACTATGAATTTCAAAATAACAAACGTTTCATAATGACGTATGTAGGTAATTCATGCGCTCTCATATACACTCCGTGCGACGCGACTGGCGCGCCGCCGCACGGCCGTTACCGAAGGTAGGCAGTGAGAACGCCAGAGAAAACGAAACCGAAACCACGCCGCGTACGTTGGTATGCATTGAAGTCGGAGCGGTGCGGTTGCACTGGGTTCACAGCATGAAGTGCTGCCGGTGCTGCGTCGTTAAGTACTTCAATAGTTATGTGTCGTATCTCGTGGGGCCAAAGTTTCACAGTTTTTCACCTTACCAATGTTTTGTGAGACAGCGACAACGATGGACCCGTGCCCTACGACGCGAGAAATTTGGTCTCCCGATCATGTCTGCCACTGTGTCGGCACTGCTGACATATTCTACATTGCCGCTTTGCGCTCTGCGTTTGTTTTCGTTCTAGGAACGCCTACATGAGTTAGCGCTGATGGGACGAATTGAAATGCCATCCCACACTCGCGGGTATGCAGTGCCGATTTCGTTGGAGGCATGCCCTCCAAAGACGTTTCGTCCCCATCGTACGTGATGATGATATTTCTGGACCAGTATGGCACGCAGTCTGTACTTTATGAAGAAAGATTCAGACAGTAAAAAAATTACGAATATGAATCTAAGGAAAACTACAATGAAACTTGGAATTACTGGACAATCGACGTTTGAGTATGGAAGCTTATATGATGTGCTTTCTTTTTTGATCAGCGTCCTTTTGGATGCGGAAACGCTGACACCCCGAGTCTTGTAGACAACAATTTTTATACTTGGCTTTACAGCCACTTATCACAAAGTAGTTCGATCTGGGAGTACCGTCCGCTGGTCCCTTTCTACCTGTAAAGTGTGCACCTCCCGCGATGAGTGGTATTCTCTTGACAGCTTTTGACGCTCAAAACCGGTTCCCATTTAGTTACGCCGCCCAAACTAAATTTCCACCTGGTTTCGCTGTGCCACCTCTTTTTGGTATAATAAGTGTTGTGTCAAGTTAGGGTCATGTCAAAGTACCTGTGTGCCGAAAATCAGCACCTCGCACAACAGGTTACTACACAACAGCTGACTGCAAAAGCCCTTGACGGCCAAACCATGTGTTGGCCGACAACTTTGTTTTCTCGGCTTTGGAACCATCTTTCGTAAAGTTGTTTCAACTGTAAGTACAGTTCACTAGTCCCTTCCTACCTGTTAAGTCTCCACCTCCCACGACGAGTGGTATTCTCTTGACAGCCCTTTCATGGTCAAAACCGGCTCCCATGGAGTTACGCCGCCCAAACCAAATTTCCACCTGGTTTCCCTATGCCACCTCTTTTTGGTATGATAAGTGTTGTGCCATGTTACTGTCAAGTCTAAGCACCTATGTGCCCAAATCTGCACTTCACTCAGCCCGGTTATAATACAACTTTTTGGGTCCAATATTGGATATCCCGTACAGCTTTATTTCTTTATTTGTTAGAAATATAACTTTCACACCTGCTGTCTTAATGAAACTTGGCACACTTCGTGCACAAACTTGGTGAACATCTCACTCGCCCCCAAATATCATCGTTCCAGCAGTCTTACGTTTAAGCGACGAGCGAAATAAATTTCTCACTCAGAGCAATTGTGGTGGCGGCCAACCTGCTTTTCGAAAAATTGCTCCAACTCCTTTTTTGGCCGCAACTAGAGAAATTACCCCTAATAACGGCTCAAACTCAATATATAAAAAGTAGAGAACAGCTAAATGCCCTTTTTAGGTCTGCCCCAGCACTTGTGCAACGTCACCCTCAACGTATCGGCTCAAAAAGCAAAAGTTCCGTCCGTACAACTTCCCCCGCCACAGCTTGGCATGCAAAAAGGCGCCACAGGCTACCGAACGTGCCTCACTGTCGAACGCCAGCTCTTCCGCCAGCGGCACTACGCGCGTTTTTTAAAGCACCCCCTATAGTTCCCGCACGGAGCGTATATAAGCAACACCTCACTATTACAAATTGATAGTGCAAAATTCGGCCACTTCATGGCATGGGCATCTCCAACTGACAACTATCATCATCATTAGGCACTGGATGTTCATCCATCCGGTTTGACTATGCTGCTTATACCTGGCTAGGGTTATTTTCAGATCGCTGCGTCCGTTGTATCACTGTGCTGCTGCTGTTTTCTTTTATTGTGTTGTGAAGTGAACCCACAATGAGTATTGCAAGCGGCAAGACGAAGCGGGGGCAATTTTTGCTACAAGATAAGGTTGACATTTTCCGCGGAGTAGATGGCGGCAAGAAACAAGTCGAGATATCCCAGAAATACGCATCGCCCTGTTGGCTGTCGCAATAATACTGAAAGCCTGCTGAAAGATCATTGAATCAGATCATAGACCATATTGAATCGTTCATGCTGCAGCGCTTGTCTTGCACCCGCAAAACGAAGATGGCAGATTTCTTCAAATACATGTACAGTGAGCAATTGCATGTTGCATTTTGTGTGGCTGGCAGCACGGATGCATTCGCTGATGTCTTCATCGCAAAGGCAGGTAAATCTTCAACATCTTGTAGACCCTGAGATGGGAAACGACCCCAGGGTCTACAAGATGTTGATTACTTACCAGTTCGCCTGCACTCTATCACTGCTTACAAATCTGCAAGTTTTTCAATATTACGATATTTCAAAATAACGAATTACAATTGGCAGTCCCACGATATTCGTTATACTGAGATTCCACTGCATAGAGTTGCATCTGTATCTGTATTCGACAGCTGTATTTGCCACCAAACCTTTTTCGGTAAAGTTTTTGAAGCATTCAGGAGTGCCCAAACTTTTGTTTTGTGGCGACGGGCACACAGGAACAAGCATTATTATTCTCTCTGTGATACTAGGTCCAATGACAGGTGCACAATAAACGCCGCAACTCCACAAAAAAACAAAAAAAACTGGTGACTCGAGCATGGTAGCACTCACTGCTATGCCCCCACACATGCCGACAAAAGACCCGAACACAGACCTGCTGCAGGGCCGAGACGTGCGTGGAAGAGGACGAGTGGCTGAGGAGCTGGTCCACGCTGTCGCTGCGGCTGCTGACCGACGTCGAGCACGTGTTGTGGGCAAAGCTCTGGTAGCTCACCTGCACCGTGGAACAGGTCATGAGCTTACAAAATGATAAGGTCAATATGCTTTGATAAGGTCAACATGCTTAAGATCAAGATGCTTTGTGAGAGATTGTTTGGTGACTCAGTCAAGCAGCCAGAAATTACCTTCAGAATAAAAATACACATCAGATGTTGTTTTTTCTTTAAAAAAAGGTTTAAAAATAAAAATCATGAGGTGTTGAGCGACTGGTATTAAAGAGTTAGTTAGTGATCAAAAGTTAGCCAAGCATTTAACATCAATCAAAGAAACAACATTGTAAATAAATGAGAACAAAGCTACACAAAGAAAAGGAGCAATAGTGGTGCGTGCACAAAAAAAAAGATACAAAACAAGATACAAAACAAAGTGAAAAGAAAAATTTATATCGTAAGATGATGTCAGGTCGGTTTAATGGGGGTGACGACTATGAGGATGTAGCACTCGTGGTCAGTCAGGAGCCAGTGTGATCGGGGGGTGCACCAGATTTGAAGAGCGCAGGCTTGATGAGAGAGATTAGCGAAGCTTCTTTCCTGACAATATTATATCTCCATATTCCCTACAAATTTACCCCTATATTATTCCCTATATCTAGGGCTCCGTGCTTTCAGGTAAACCCGATAAACTCCGAAAAACACTCGCTGACAAAATTTTTGACAATTCAGATTTATCCGAAAAACTCTGAATTTCAAGGTCACAATGGCAAAATAAAAAGCCCAAAAATACGGTACTATTTTACAAATAAAGTTTGCCAGAGCACAAGGTTAGTGGCCCTGAGGAAATGACCATTCAGTTTTTTTCTTCTTCTTGGACTGTTGACAAAACTACAGGAGGACGCTTAAACTTCGCCTTTAAGAGTGGAACGCGATAGCTAAAATATAAATGCCTGCTCAATCCCAAGTCGAGCAAAAGTGTCTGCATGGCCTAGTCGGTAGCGTGTCTGGCTCGCGACCAAAGGGTCATGGGTTCGAATCCCACCTCCACCTAAAATCTTTGAATTTGTTCTGCAAGGCAAATGAAGTACTGTATAAAGTGAAATCCTTTGAGACATGAGGCAAACTTTAATTCATATTACATGTCATGTTTTAGTCCCTTTCATTCCACGCGTGACGTCACGTTTCACACGAGCGTTGTGGGTTGTTTGAAATTCCCATGCGAGGTCATGTGGCTGTGACGTCCTGACCCTATCGACCAATCAAGATTTTCTTGTCCCACGCCACCAAAACCGACTTTTCTGTCACACGAGCTAATTAAACTTATCACTTTAAAAGATAGTTTCCCATTTATCTCGTAAAGGTTCGTTCAGTGCAATAGGCCAATACTTCTAGACCACGACAAATGCTACTGTTCCGGTTTTTCCAGTTTGAACCATACTATTGGTGCTTTTTAGAGGGAGGAGGGGGTACTGCTTTTATAACAGTGAAAGATGGGAACCTGTAGATTTTTGCAGGAGTTTGGCTATTTCAAAGTACCAACGTTTATTGAAGTAACACTCGTTTTCAAGGCTTGTCATGGGACAGTTATACTCCGCGACAACTTTTCTTGGCAATGCAGTGGAAGGTACAGGCCCGCGTCCCCTCTCCCATTTTGAGTGTACGCAAGCTCTCCTCCTCTCCCGGAAATGGGGGAGGAGGAGAGCCTGTGTACACTCAAAATGGGAGAGGGGACGCGGGCCTGTACCTTCCACTGCATTGCCAAGAAAAGTTGTCGCGGAGTATAGTACTGCCAATTGCAAGGGTGCCAATGTCAGATGCAGCTGCGAAAATATCTTTCAATATCGGTGATATTTTTACAAATTTAGAGTATGTTTTTGTCTTACATTAATTATTTTTATTTTGAAAAAAAAAAAAATGAAAGTCGTTTACAACTTCCTATAATGCCGAATTAGAGCACAGCTCTTGAGGAGGAGGAGGGAAGGGCACTGAGGGGGGGTCATGTGGCCTTGGGGGGGGGGGGGGGGGGGCACATGACCTCGGGGCGTCACGTGACCTGGGGGGGTCACGTGACCTCGGGGGGGGGGGGGGGGGGGGGGGGGATCACATGATTTCGGGGGCGTTACCGGGTTGCGTGCAACGTGGGTTACATGCAACTTCGTCTAAATACAGCCTGGTTGCACGCAGCTCTGGTTGCATGAAACGCGCGGTTACGCCGACGGCGACGTCACTCAAGCCGGAAACGGACGCCTAAGCTGCGCTCTAAAAAAGAAAAAGAACCATTGGGAATCTAACAAAAATAAATTTTGATAAACCCAGAATTTCCAGTCATAAGTGAACTCTGAAAACCACCCACCGAATTTCACAAAAAATGAACTCGGAAAACATGGAATCCTACCTATATCATTAATGGATGAAGAGCATGGAGGGGAGGGGGGAGGGGGGTCACATGACCTCGGGGCATCACGTGACCTGGAGGGGGGGGTCATGTGGGCATCACCGGGTTGCGTGCAATGCGGGTTACATGCAACTTTCTCTAAATACAGCCTGGGTTGCATGCAATGCGTGGTTACGCCGACGCCGATGGGTTGCATGCAACGCGCGGTTACGCCGACGGCGACGTTGCTCAAGCCGGAAACGGACGCCTAAGAGCTGCGCTCTAAAAAAGAAACAGAAAAGAACCATTGGGAATCTAACAAAAATAAACTCTGATAAACCCAGAATTTCCAGTCTTAGTGAACTCTGAAAAACACCCTCCAAATTTCACAAAAAATAAACTAGGAAAACATGGAATCCTACCTATATCATTAATGGATGAAGAGCATGTTGGTGCAGGTCAAGCTGAAGAAGGAATAAACATGTGGGACAAAGAGAAAGGAAAGAAAGAAAGAAAGACAAAAAAAAGAATGAAAGTTGTGGTTGTGTTGTGTTTGTCCTACGTGCTTAATCTTTCTTCATCTTGTCTACTTTCCGTAATATCCAGAGAAATAGCCCACCTAAAATCAAAAGTAAATCAGGTGAAAATAAGGAATGGGCTAACTTATCTATTATCTCTACGTTCTATCTAGTATTTTCCCTTATCTCCACGCTCTATCCCCATATTCTCTCTTGCTATCTCCACGTTCTATCTCTAATCTATTATCTTCATGTTCTATCCAGATATTCCCTCTGTATATACATCTACACCTCTATACTACTCCCTTCATTCCTTTCCAACGCCCAAGCCCACGATGTGAGAAGCGACGTGCAAACGTGCTGTCGGCCGGGTTACCTTGGAGGCGAACAGAGTGGTCACCTGGTGGGCCGTGCTCCAGAGCGTGGAGGGGGGGGACGCCCTGGGAGCCCATGCCCAGCAGGTCGTCGGCTGAGTGGTGCAGGCACGAGTCCAGGCTGCTGGCCCCACTCAGGCTGCCCTTGCCCTGCCAGTCCCCAAACAGGGGCGACCGCAGCACCGGGTCCAGCAGGTTCGAGTTGGAGCTCAGGGCGCCCGACTTCTTCTTGGGCGGAAGCGGGGGCGCAGGGCCGTCCGCCGCCGGGTAGCGGCCGTCGCTCTTGCCGCTGCGCCGTCGGAGCCAGCTCACCCAATCGCCCCCCTTTTGCTTTTCCTTTTTTACGCAAAACGTGTTTGGGCTGTGGTTTCACGAAAGGAATGTCCCAACAAAGTAAGTGTAAAGGCAGATTCGCACGCTCGCGACTGCTTAAGGCCACGTGTCTCAAAGGGGCACTACACCACTTTCTGCGATGGTCTTTTTATGGTCGTAGCTCAATCTATGGGTTCTAAGCATCCTACAAAACCAAACATTACATTTGTGTTTGGCCGATTTCTCTATTAAAATCGGTATTGAAGATCAATTACCTCAACTATCACTGACGCCAGATGGTGCCATCGGACAAGGAGAAGTAAAGCCCCTTGATAAAAGCATTTTTTACGAGTCCCACCAACCATAGTTTTGAAAATGTGCAAGACATATGTTGCACGCGGGTGCTTAGCCACCATTCGCTTCCAAGGGCCGCTCGAAACATATGCTTCGTGCACTGGCACATCTGACGCTACTTGTGAGACAACTGCAAACACATTGAGGGGCTTTAAGAAGGGCTTCTCCAGAGCTTCTCCTTGCCCAATGGCGCCATCTGGTGCCACCGATAGTTCCGAGGTAATCAATCTTCGATACCGATTTTAATAGAGAAATCGGCCAAACATGAGTGTAATGTTTGGTTTCTTAGGATGCTTAGAGCCCATAGATTGAGGTATGACCATCTCCAATGAGAAAACAGGCTGGCACCGCCTATTGAGTAGCCGTGGAATGCTCGGCATTTCCGCACATTTCAAGTTTTTGTTGTGCATCATTCTTCTTTTGTTGGCTCGAAAAGACATTTGACAATTTTCTAAACAACTGTTTCTCACAGGAAGTACTGAAAAATGCCGGGGAAGCACCCACTTTCGGACAAGCACCCACTATTAACATTTCCAAAACTTTGGAATTCTGATTATATGTTAAGCACCTCAAAAGCGCCGCAAAAATTCACCACATTGTGGCAGCTACGAGAACACCAACGGGGATGATAGAGATATCCACTTCCTTGCGATGGAAAGGGAAAGACTTCTTGGGCAGGGGCAACCATTAACTGTATTATCTAGGTCACTCGGGTGCAGTGAGAGGTCATTACAATGCTGAACGTCAGCAGCCAAGTTGTAGCCATGCCAGGACCGATTGGGGTGAAGATAATGCAATGTGACAATGACCAGTTCTTGGAAACAAAACAAGCGGTCCCAGGGCTTTTGCGAGGCACATCTTGATCAAGCGTGCACGCTACCGTAGATCCCTTGCTTCTCGTGCATGCTGCCACCATCTTGATTTTTACTGCTTCAACTGGACAAACGCCCATGTCTAGACTAACCAATTTTTCAGTGAAAGTGGGGTGAGCGCTTTCCCGATATTTTATGGTACATAAATTTGATCTTACAAACACTGGAAAACGTTCGATCGAGTAAAATGCAGTTCCAGAGTCACCTTATAGGTGGTGCCAGTGTGTTCTTTTGTAAAAGGTCATAAGCAAACGTGACCGTGCAAACGGGTCTTGACGTGTAATGCATCCTCTAAATGTAGTGGAAAAACCTGAACTGGGTCTGCAAGTTGGACACCCAACGAGAAAGTCAGCGAGATCGCCGACCGCCACGATAGGCCAGCGCCAAGGTCGAGCGCAGTGCTGGCCAATAGTGGCGGTTGGCAATATCGCTGACTTTCACACCAGGTGTCCACCTTTGAGCCCCTGGCACGTGTGCACCAACTCAATACCTCCGCTAAATTTAGTGGAGAAATTATGTGTACCCTGTTTATGGGAAAGTACACCAAATTTAGAGGGTGACTGCTTTAGTCTGGGAGAGCAAAGAGATGAAAGAATGGAGGATAAATCTCTCGGACCGTTTGGGTTTGTGTGTCGCTTCTGTCCCCACTTTCCAGGGCTAAAATACAGTCAGTACACCGGCTCACATGCACCATGTAATGCTGTACCACACGGTGCAGCGCACATCACCGGCAGATCAATTCTGGTGGTACGGTAGCTACACACGGGCAAAAGCCGAGACAAGAGACAACATAAAAAAGGGGTTGCGGACCACACGTCTCTACTTGTGCATGTTGACATATGCAACACATTTCAACTTTCTTTGTGTGTTCACATACAGAACAGATAATAAAGTCAGCAAGGCAATCAAGCAATGTACAATAAAAAGTATGTTGCACATTTCCACCCATTCAGAAAAAACTACACAAGCTCAAGTAGGACCCAGTGATAATAGGAGCATGTGGTTATGACACAACATTTCTACCATGACCTACAGAATACATATAAGGAAGTCAAAAATAGATGACATGTGCTTGCCCATGCTTACCAATTTTTAAGGCCTTGAACGGTTTTCAAGATCGTGACAACTTATAAGTACAGCTTCCTTCACTTTACACGTACAGGGTGCGACCGTAAAAACCAACAAATTTGGCACGCCTTGCAAACTTCGAATTTCAAACGTACATACCTGAAATTGGGTATGCGAACATAGTAGTTTCGCAAGAAGTTTTACATATATTTTTTTCAGAGCTCAAGTCAGAGACGGTAAAATCTTAAAAATAGAGCAAAAATGGCTGCCGTTCATTTCTTATGCCTTATACCAGATGCTTGTCATCCACGCAGTGGTTTGTGACCTTGCTCCCAGGTGGTGACTGTTGATAGATTTTTTTTTAAAGTATTAATTATCGTCATTATTTTGCTTATCAGCAGCCTCTACTATTGGTTTTTAGCCTTTTTGCATGTAGCGAGCCACCCGGGAGGCGGCCTCATAAACCGGTGTGCAGACGACAAACAGGCTACGTAGTATACATGGAGGTAGGAAGCTTCTGGAGGCGACATGACGCCACCAAAGGTGAACCCAGGGGAGATTTGCAGTTTGAAGGGACACACCTTCAACAATGACCAAATCAAAAAGACGCCATTAAACGGACTTGGGCACCCTTGGGGGCGCTCCCACCGACCGAGGACCTTTACTTCCGGCTTCACTTTGGATTTTCTCGCTTGACTGACTTGAGCCGGCATGTCGCCTCCCCTCTTATTCCTGCCTCCATGCTGGTATAGGACATAGGAAATATGTGGCCTCAGACTTTGCTTTATTTTTAATATTTCACTACCTCCAATGCATGCATACATACATGTCTGAAATTGGGCATGCGAACATAGTTTTGCACGACGCTTAATGTATATTTTTTTTAGAGCTGATATTGGAGGGAGTGAAATATTAAAGATAAAGCAAAATCTGAGGCCGCATAGCCTGGTTATAAAATTTGAATTTTGCAAGGCACGTCAAATGTGTTTATCCTTAGGACCATACCCTGCAGATACTTTACCTCGTGCTAGTGCAACAGAATTAAATAAATAGAGACCTATGTAGTTTAGCATGTACCTATAATGCTGACCAGACAGCATAAAGCAAGCATAATACTTTGATTAACCAGTGCATATCACAGTGCCTTTCAGCTGCATATGTTCTCTTCCTGCATTGCTGATAGATGTCATCAACGTGCAAAGCAAAGTTCACATTTGCAACACACATCAAAAATGAAAGAAAGACTGCCCAAAATTAAAGAACACTCAAGACACCATCAGTTCCAAAGACAACAAACAGAAAACCATTCCAAGGAAATGCATGCCATGTGCATAAGTGCCCACAACATTAATGTGAACAAAGAAAAACATACACTCTGCTTTCAATAGAACCACAGGGTTAGAATGGAATGTGTAACAAACACAGAAAAATAAACCAAACTGCATTTCCTGCTGACCAATGCCACATTCTTCTTTTTTTTTTTAATTTGTATGTCTTATGTTACAGATTACGAATCTACCTATGCTTCCTTGATAGCAGATAATCGAGTCGAAGTAACCTTAAGAGACCGATCGCATGAAGTTTGACAGGCAGACTGTATGCAACATTCATCGCCACCTTAACATCTAGGCGCTGGGTGCTTGTACAACGTGCGACACTGTTAGCACAAACAGGACTTCAGCATATTTTCGCATTTTGCTCAGTCAAATTAAAGATGCACACCAAATTTTGCTGCTTATGTTGTCGTTCTGGATGAGGGGGGAAGGGGAGGGGACGGGGAGGGGATGGGTAGGGATGTTTTTGTGAAATAAGAGTTGCACCACCACCAGAAGAAAAATAAAACATGACAGCTAGTTCACCCAGGCAAGTAAATTGCAGAGAAACTGAAATGTTAAAGTGCATCCATATTGCTCCCACCAGCATTAAGCAGAATGCAGATAATCCAACTCTCAAAAAGGTGCAGTGCTCCTCAAACTTAACGCCGCTACTTGGTTACCCAAATGATGATTTATTGATGGCTACTCAAAGCTAAATTAGTTACTGCAGTAGCTGGAATGCCTTCCCCAGGCTTGGTTGTGGTCGGGCGGTTAAAACTTCACCACATAATTCGATCAGGAGGCCCAGGAATAGCACAAAGAGTACAAAAATACCAACCACCTCATGGCAGCATTAAAATTAGGGAGAACTGTAGATCTAAAGTTTAATGTTTCAATGAAGTAGATTTGTTATGGAAATGTTTGTGAAGGATTAACAATATTCCCTCCAAACACTTTGTTGCATGACAGACGCAGCAGTGCTACTATGCCTCTCAGGCAAAGAACATGAAATCTCCCGTGTTAGGCAGAACACGCATGCAGCAGACAAAAGATGTGCAGTCAATTACGGCAAGTTGCCATGCCTCGTTAAAAGGTTTTAGGCCTATTTTAACATTGTGGTGCAATAACTGAAAAGCACAAATATCAGAATATAACCTAGCATACCTACCTGACTTAAATATGTATCTAGAGATTCAAAAGTTACTTTGGCTCATTTACTTTCTTTTTTTCTGGAGCAGTACACCAAAGGAAATGAAACCACCCGCACTATGACTGAACGTTAGCTTCCTCAGAAATCTAGTCTCGATTGTGCTGAACCATCCTTATACTGTGACTGCCTTTGTTTCGGCACGAGGTGCAAACTAGTGTCAGCCCGAGTGATTGACTCGGCGGTTTTTCGCAGGGATGGTTAGATGTGCACAGTATGTGCGGCCCAAACTTGGGCGGAAAGGCGAACCACTCAACGCTAACGCTGCACGAGTTAGCATCCACTCCCCACCTAAGCCAACTGCGCTAAGTGTGAGCACCAGGTGCCACGTCCAGAGGAGTGTTAGCTCTATTGAATTAGCATTCAGAAACGACAAGCAGCAACACCTCCCACATAGCAAGGCAGCAGTGCTGATGTTCTGCGTCCCCTACCATAAGTCAGCGCAGGCACAAAGTGCACACAAGTGCTATGTCCGCATTCGGCCGGGACTACACCAGTCACATGCAGACGCACCACTAGTGTCCAATCACTGATCGAACACGAGTCCCAGATGAATGCCGATGAATCGCTCGTGACCAATCGTAGGTCTAACACGGACCCCACCCGAACGGTGATGCGGCAGTCGTGTCCAATCACCGACTGAACACAAGTCTCGACCAAACACCGGCATGGCCCTTGTGTCCAATCGCCGATTGAGCACGAGTCTCAGCAGAATGTCGATACATTATTTGCCGAACCACAGATTGAACACGAGTACCAAATGCTGACATGGCACTCGCGTCCAATCGCCGATAGAACGCAAGTCCCAGCCGAATGCTGACGCGGCACTCGTGTTCAATCACAGATTGAACGCAAGTCTCAACCGAACGTCGACCCAATACTCGTGCCCAATCCCCAACTGAACCCAAGACCCAGCCAAACACCGACGCAGAGCTTGTGTCCAATCGCCGATCGCTCCAGAGTCTCGGCCAAATGCCCCGTGCCCCACGCTGGGCTTCGGTAGGGGACGTAGGACACTAGGACTGCGGCCATATTACCTAAAACTTGGGAGGTGTTGCGAGCGGGCAGCGGAAAAAGCAGCGAGAGGCAGAGAGAAAGAGAGAGCGAGGCAGCCAAGCCCCCTACCTGGACGTTAGGAGCGGGAGGGGCGGTTTTGGGGGCGGGAAGTCTGGCCGCAGGGCGGAGCTCAGAATGCTGTCCGAGGAGGCCGAGTGGCAGAGAGGGCCCTTGCCCCCTCCGGCCACCGGCACGCCCAGCACCATTCCGTCGTCGGGGATCCGGGTCGACTCCAAGATCTGACGCTCTCGCGGCGTCAGCGGCAGTTCTGGCAGCGAGTTGCGGTGGCTGCTGTTGCATTGCCGGGGGGGTCACAACGGTAACCGTTATCAGGAGGCTAGTGCCGAGAAGAACGTCTGAAAGACGACCTGGGAACCTCGCTCGATCATGTGGTTTCTGTTACCGAAAACCGTCGCGTGTGTGGGGCACGCGACAATTTTTCATTTGACTGCTGCTTACGAAGTTAAAGTCGCGATCCAAGGTGATGTCGCTCGATGACGTGCAAACAATGATGCTGTTGAAAAGCTGTGGTTGCATAGAGGTACTTTGCGAGTTCACTGGGAAATATCTCGTGTTCTGTACAACAAAGTATGAGCTAGAAATACTATAACAAATCATAGAGAAATCTCAGTGAATGCCCCCCTGCATTTGCACCAAGCCTTGCCAAGTGGTTTTGTAGATCTTAATAAATCTGTGGCCAAATGGCCACTGTATGTGTTACACACAACACATAGACCCTTCCAGAAAAGGGCTCCAGGCTGGTTCCATTTACAGTGTATGTGCATACGGCACATGACTTGCTCGCTTTCCAAAGCAACAAACATGAGTGTGCTGGGCTAAAGAGATCCCACGCTGGGCTGAGGACCTGTATATATTGGAATGGTGTATACTTCTTGCAGTTGATGTAACATCTAAATATATGCTTGCTTTGTATGAACTAGGTAGATGAGCTTAGCACAAACTAACGTATTTACTCGCATAATTCGCGCCCACGCGTAATTTACACACCCCTAACTTAAGGACCAGATTTCCAGAAAAAAAAAACTTGCTCACGTATTTTGCACACCCTGCACAGTTCTGCACCAGCTCTCCAACGGTTTCTCCAGATGCCCCACGGGCACGCATGCTAAGCTGCGGGAATTCCGCGTGGCAGCGAGAGGAGCGAGAGGGGCGAGAGTGCGAGAAAGATGCGACTCTGCGGGAGCTACGGGACGCACGCGTCGCTGGCTCAGTGCTGCGAGGTGGTTGGCCTGTAAGAGAGCATGACGTCGCACTAGGATTCCCGGATGTGGGAACCGTCGTGTGGTGTGCTCTTGCGGTGGTGTGGACTGGCGCGAAGTCTGCAGCACCAAAGCGCATGCTTTCCAGTGTTCGGCTTTAGTGGTTTCAGTTCGACGCCGTCAACGGTTCTCTTACTGATTGCCCTTGCGATGGGTTACAATAGCTATACAGCGAAGTTGAAACTCCTTGTGATAAAGTTTGCTGAGGAAAATGGAAATCACGCAGCTGCCAGGCAGTTTAGGGTGAACAAGAGCCACGTACGTTATTGGCGAAGACAGAAGTCGCAACTGGCAAGTGCAAGGCCAGGAAGAAAATCATTTCGGGAGTCCAAACGAGGGAACTTTCCTGCTGTTGAAGATGAACTGTTACAGTATTTTCGAGATCACAGGTCGTCTGGTCACGTTGTGTCGTGCGAGATGCTACAGTTTCAGGCAAGAAAGAATGCACAAGAAAAAGGGATATCCTCTGCAACGTTCAAGGCTAGCAGAGGTTGGGTGACACGCTTCATGAGACGCCATCACTTGTCTCTGAGACGAAGGACGACTCTCTGCCAGCGTTTGCCCGAAGACTATGAAGAGAATCTGTTGGCATTTCATTGTTTCGTGATCGCATTGTGGAAAATGGGAATGCGTTCTTGATGCACGTTCCCAGATCGGGAACGCGGATTAAATGCCGCTGACCTTCGACATGCCGCCTAACACTACAGTAAGCGAAAGTGGTGTCTCAGCTGTCCCTGCAAGATCACCTGGCTGTGAAAAGCAACGCTGCACCGTCATGCTGGCGGTAACTGCTGATGGGCGAAAGCTCCGGCCCTTTGTCATTTTTAAGCGCAAGACATTGTCAAAAGTGAAACTGTAAGGTCGCATCCACATCCGTGTCCATGAAAAAGGATGGACAAATGAAGCTTTAATGCAAGACTAGACTGAAACGGTTTGGGAAAAATGATCAGGCGCTTTGTTGCGACTGCCATCGCTGCCGGTACTGAACAGCTTCAGGTGTCACCTTGTCGACAGCGTGACGCAAAAGTTGGGGGACATGAAAACGAACCTTGTTGTCATCCCGGGAGGTCTAACATCAGTTCTACAGTCCTTGGATGTGTCAATCAACAAACCGTTCAAAGACTATGTGCGTAAACTCTATGTAGAATGAATGGCCAGCGGAGAACACAGCCTCACTCCCAGTGGAAGGATAAAGAGGCCGCTTGTGGAAACAGTCTGCGAGTGGGTTCTAACAGCGTGGGACATGGTCTCTTCCAGCACTGTCGAGTCGAGCTTCAAGATGACGGGACTATCAATCGCGCTCGACCAAACTGAAGACAATGCTATTTGGAACGCGAGTGATGAAAACTACCATGACGATCGCAGCTATGGTACTGAGTGCGAGAGCTCCAACAGCGACTCGAGGTAAACAAAGTAGGCGCATTTTGCAAAATAAAAAAAAAACTTTTGCCGTTTGTATATTTGTGTTTTTATATACATTACAGACTTTGCAGGTGTGTTATTTAAGACAAGCTTGTGAAATATCTGCGTAATTTGCGCACTCCCTTTCTGATGACAGATATTTAAAAAATAAAGTATGCAAATTGTGCGAGTAAATATGTAAGTCAATATTTTAACTAACAACCAATAGCTTAGATTTCTGAGAATATTTTTCCTGCTGAAAAAAGCTGCAGTCTCTACAACTACAGTCAAGCATCCCAGCCACTGCTCATTTGGTCAATTGTCAGGAACATCCTTTTCTACATGACATGTTGTTGCAGACAAAAGGTTATGGTCTGACACATTTCGTTTCAGCCTCTTGATAAAAGTAGTTTTTTCTACACCCTTTGGAATGCATGTTTTGCAGTGGTAAAGGTGAATCAATTGGCACACAGAAAATTCATCATAAAGACAATACAAAACCAAGAGACAAAAAAAAAAACAACGAGAATCCCAGGTGACTCACTTGTCTGGTTTTGAACTGCATATGCCATTGGGGGTACCTGCCCCAGCGTGCTTGCTCTTGTTGTCTTTATTCTGCGAGCACTTCTGGCTCACTTCCACCAGGGCCTAAGAAACCAAAGGCATGACAGCTCAAGCACCTGCACCCTCCTTCAGACTCAACATTAACTGATGACTTTTAGATTCTACATAGACAAAATATGATGTACTACATCGTATTGTTATATCACACTCAAAATGAGCTAAAACATCCTCATATTGGCTAGTTTTCTATTTCATACTATTTAATGAAATAGACTACAGTTGGCGGTGATGCCCAAACAAAACGGAACAATGTTAAGCATTAAGACCAATTGGTAGCAATTGGTTTCTTGGACTAATCCGTTTGCCTTCCCCCACCTGGTATGCTTTTTCGCTGCAGTGCTTTGCAGCCAATTTGCCCCTAAGATTGCATAAGATCTCACTTAAAGCTCACCCTCTTACCAGGAGTTTCAAATTTTTGTTCAAGCTGTAACAACAAGCTATTTATTAAAGAGGTGACAGACAAGCTAGAAATGACAAGGCCCCCCAAAGTACCCATCTCCCAAAATGTGCATGGAGGAAAAAAAAAAAACAATCACGACTAAGACCAATGGTAAACATTTTGGATTTGGCAAAATTGTATAAAAAAAACTATCACAGCAGTAGATTTTTTTTTTTCTTTGAAGTCATTACCAACTTACACAGAAAGGTCCAAATAAAAAGACCTTGAACAACATCAAAAAGAAGTTTTGTACAAAACTTTGATAAGAAAGAAATAATCTCCCTTTAGAAAGAAAAATTAACTAAATTTAAAATAATTCACTCCTCTAGTAATACAAAAACTGAACCAAAATCTTTTTAGCAACTTGAGTCCATTCGACATATGCACCTATAGGTAATCCTAGCAAAGGAAGCCACAAGGATAGGGTTGCCCGGTTTTTTACCAGCATGGTAGATTTTGGGATAAAAGACCGGTTGCTGGTCTGCATCTAAAACCGGCTGTCATATGTCGGTTTGTTCTAACTACCTACTCAAGCACAATTTTCTTACTTCATAGTTTTTCTTTGCGCGCGTGTGTTTTTTTTTAGGGGTGGGGGGGGGGGGGCGCATTTATAATTCTGTACTAGGCCATCAATGTTATCGGGTATATAGGTATATGAATTGTCTATTTTTAAGCCAATTTCATACACAATGTCCTGGTCCCTAAAATTGTTTACTTAGCCGCAAAGAAGACATCTGTTTCCTAAAAAGCTGGCACGTCTACGTTTCAGTGGATCACGCAGAGAGTCTTCGCAATTTACCGAAGGAGATTAGAGAATGGCAAGAAAGACCTCACTTTGAATTTGAGGGCACAGTCCTTTTGTAATTCATGATTCGAGAAATATGAAGACATGCTCACATTACACAAATTCCCGAGTGACCACACACTTTCAAGACATAGGCTCGTGCCGGTGCTCGTGGTATTCGCATTCACTACCAAAACACCCAGAACCAGCAATTTTTTTAAATAATTTACGCTCAAAATTTTCACACCAAGTATCACACTCAGTGTCTTAGAGTCATTTTTACTCCAAGTGTTATTTAATTCGCAGCCATTTCTATGTAATCAGCAATAGTCGGTTCTCCACCTGCTGCACAGGATAAGTAGAGGTGCGAGATTTGTTTTTGGAGCTTTAATGTTGACTAAATGGTATGCATCAATGCATGTTATTGAGTTCAGTGTTGCATATTTGTGTAGTTACATGTACCATGATGTATCAAGAGATCTATGTTAATTGATTTCCCTTCGGGAGACTTGTGTCGAAATAAATTGCATCTCTGTATCAATTAAAGGGCAACACCGGTTGAAAACGAAACCAAAATAAATGACTGGTATCGCTTTAGTGGCACGAAATATGATCACAGCCGAAATATTATGTCAAAGTCAAGCCACCTACTCCACTAAAACCGATTTTAAAGATGCGACCAGCTGCCCTTAGCAGGCGGCAAGCGGGTTAGCTTTAAGTCAAGGAACACTGGCACAGCACCCTTGGGCATCACGTGGCGGCCGTACGGCTGATGACCAGTGTTGCCATCCCTCTAGCAGATAGTTTCAGTTTTGTCCTAGAAGCCCGAAACCAAATTTTGAGCCGTCTTATTTATAAAACTTCACACAATACTGAGAACAATAAATTATACCTTGTAACTCGGGGACACTGCTTTAGCTGAAAACAGTCGTTATCTTTAATTAAAAAATATTGACCGAAGTCGCCCTTCCAGACTGTCCACACTGAGTCTTTCTTTTTGCCAGTTCAATCTCACATAATTAGCCCTCTCCCCCCCCCCCCCCCCTGCACCAGAATAGCCATTTTTAAGAAGCTGTTTGTGTTTCTCGCATATATCCCAAAGGTGCTCTAAATGCATAGCACTTATAGATCTCAAGGGACGTCTTGATGTAACACGACCTTATGGTGTCATCTGATGTCGCAGTGTCACGTCCACGTCATGAAGTCGCACGATTATTGTCACGCCGATAATGTTGCGTGAACGCTGCAACATCATCATGGCATTAGTGCGATGATAGGGAACCTTTTGAAGCGCTAAGGATGTCACTGTGCTCAGGATGTCACCGTGGCATCCTGAGCGTGGCGTCAACACAAAGGCTACATGCCACGGCTAAAGGCCGGGCCTATAAATGCCGCGCACTTGCAAAACGCTGCGGCCTGAAGTGGCCGAAGGGAGGGAAGGGAGACGGCCCACCTTTAGGGAGTCCTGCAGGGACTGGACCACCTCGTTGACACCCTCCATGGTCGCCCGCTCCCGGTTGAGCATCACCTCGTCCGCCCAGGAGACGAATCGGGACAAGCTCTGGTACACTTGGTTCGTGGTCGAGATGAGCACGGAGCTGGACACCGAGGCAGACAAGTCGCTCACTCCACACGTCGCACCCCTCGAGGGTGGTTCGCGCGTTTGCGAGCCCACCGCGAGAGTGCGACGAGCACGAAATGAGCAAATGTATGCGGTTTGAGAGCTAGCCAACAGACAGCGCCGGCATCTTCTCTCTTTCTCAGCGGTCACGAGCACTCGCAATAAACTCGGTCATGGTCGAACGCAAGTGTGTGAACCAGCTTTTAGAGTGTGAGTTCTTGAACCAAGTCCCTAGCAGGGGGGTGAGGGCGGGAGCAGAGCGCGGCAAATCCCGAGAGAAAGAATGACAAAGACAGTGAGAGAAGAGCGGAGAAAGAAAGCAGACGAAAAGGTTGGGTGCGTTCGTCTTGCCGCGACGAGTTGCAGTCGCTCGAGCGCTCGTCAATTTCATTTATTGTTATACGACGTGTGATTTCTGTGTTTTTCTGCAAAGTAGATTAGAAAAGAAATAGGTAAAGACCTTACGGGAGATGTATTGCCGCTTCTTTCTGCCTATTGAGGCGTCATCAGCGACGCGGGCCTGTCGGGACCACCTACCGAGACTGCCGGTGTTTGCGTAGACGTCCCGCCGTACTGGAGCGGCCCGAATGCATGAGACCTTTCCCTCTAGATCAGGGGTGGCCAAGCTGCGGCTTTTCGCGTGTTAAAGTGCGGCTCGCGACTCCCTTCCCTCCCCTCTCCCCCCCCCCCCCCCTCCCCCCACGCACACACACTACCCGCCTCCCTCCCGGTCACACGAGCACTTCCCCAAAAAGAGAAATGGAACGCATTTTAAATCGAAATGCAGGTTGCGGTTTGGTAGTCTTGTGCTACAGCTACCTTAGGTATAGTCGCACTGCTTTTGACTCGGATAGATTGAAAGTAGTTTGTGTTTTATTTATTGCTCTAAACAAAAATCTGCCCCCCCCCCCCCGCCCCCTCCGCGGCTCTTGGAAGTTTCGTTGTTTTGTTTGCGGCTCTTAGGCCGGGTCAACCTGGCCACCCTTGCTCTAGATTATTACATTAACTCTACGATGCCACGGGTTCTCCGAGCGCCCAAATTTTCTCGGCCGTCCCTACCGCTGAGTAATTCCTTTTCCCAATTTAAACGCCATTTTACCGGATCTGAGCCACCTACTGATGCATAACTACGAGCCAAACACTCCCTAGTGTGTGCATCATTGTTTAAATGCTCATATGCTTATTTACTGCCTTATTGCATCCATGACGAGAACAGTCCCTTGGCTGATCATTGAGAAAGTTGGAGGCTTCTCGAAATCGTAAAGTTTCAGAACCTCTGCTTTGATTGATTGATTGATTTAATATGTTTCAGTGGCACAAGGGTCACATAAGTGAACAATGGCTATTCTGCTTGAAGATTCAAATTAAATGAGGTCAGTACAGCTCTGCTGCTTAAAATATACTTGGGCCTGAATGTCTTTTACGAAACTAAGTATATGTTCTTAGGAGATACGACGGACTTATGATCAAGGAGGAGAGAAGGACGATAAGGAAGCTGCTGTTCATAAAAGTTATGAAAGTGATCTTTCTGATGTTGTCTATATAATAAGCATGAGATTAATTAGTGCAAAACTTTTTGCGGTCCACCAGACTGTACACAATCATGTGCATCCGTCCTACTAAGAAGATAACGGCAGGTTAGAGGGTTACTACGGCATTTCCTTCATAGTCTCCGATTTGCCTGGAAGTTTGCTTATTACGCCAACAAAATACTTGGAATGGAGGGTGTGCTGATAAGGACAATATAAATAATAGAAAGAACTTGTGTTCCTCCCATTATTTGTATTTCGGATTTTTTCGGGTAAATCCAAAAAAATCCGAAAGACACTCACCGGTAAATTTTTCGTCAATTCATATTTATCCGAAAAACTCAGAATTTCGAGGTCACAGCGACAAAATAAACAGCAAAAAAGACAAAGTTTTACAACCAAACTTTACAACAGCACAAGGTCAGTGGTCCTGAGGAGATTCCACTTCAGTTTCTTTTAAAATTAAGAACTACTGACAAAATGGGGTTTGCTTTTTAGCACGTCGATGTTCCCTCGAGACAACAAGTCATGGTACCCTGACCTTATTTATTCTGTTTTCGAATTTTTAAATTTTTCTAACAATGTTGTTAGAAAAATTTTTGAAATTTTTCTAACAAAAATGAACTCGGATAAACCCCGAATCCCCAGCGAAAAATAAACTCCGAAAAACATCCTCCGAATTTCACGAGAAATAAATTCTGAAAACATGGAATTCTATTTTTATCATACACCAACACATAGCTAAAATAAAAACCCAAATATTAAACAAAACAAAAAAAATAATTTTTTTGCAAGGTAACAACTGAATTTACAATTTTGATTCTCACCGTGTTTTTCAAAGTGAAAGTCTCTACTGGCAACAATGAAAAAAGGACATAAGGGGAAAGCAAGGGTTCACTTTTTGAACTTTGTTCCCAACTGATTACAAGCAGTTTCATGATGTCAAATGCATGCTTTGAAAGCTGGTTCAATCAGCGGCCCAGCAGCACGAAACAAATGCTTGGCATAGTTTACTTTTAGACTGGCCACTCCACCTGCAAGCCTGCCTTTCCCCGAGTCAAGGCACTAAAAAGCGCGGGTATATATGAAAGTTGATTTCGGCATCATTTTCCCTTCCCGACTTCACAATACCTATTCCGAATTTCGCGATTCTAAATAGCATACCGGGAAGGGTAAAGGCCGGTGATTCCGAAAGTTAGTGGGACGATTTAAGGAATCGCCGGAATACCCCTTTAAGCGGGCATGGCCTATCCTAGAGCCCCTGCTTTGGAGTACGAACGATCCTCGGAAACTAAGACGCAGAAGTCGGCCGCAGGAAAGGATGCCCACCTCTGGTCGTTGATGAGGTCCTTCTTGAGCAGGGAGATGAGGTGCAGCACGTACTCGAGCACGATGCTGGCCGACCCCGGCAGCATGCCAAGGGTGTCCTTCTCCACCGAGTCTTGGAAATAGCGCAGGGCGTTGGAGATCTGGCGCATGTCCTGGCTCACTTGGATGTCACCCTGCAACGGCATCATCCACCCCAGGGAGGAGTTCGTTTGCTCCTCGGGAGCGGGAACCAGCGCATCTTGGGACATGACGTCTCCGTCACTTGTGCCGAGTTCGACCGAGACATTAAGTCCTCACTCTCGTTCTCTCTCGCAAATTAAATGCCGATCTTTCGGCATCACTGACTGCAACTAGTCTTAACGCTTGCTATTTTGTAAGGCTCTAGAGCTTCCGGAAAACATTGGTAGCGTAGCGAATCTCCGAGAAAGTGAAAAATACCACTTATAAAGAAATCTTTCTAATTAACCCCAGTCGGTGTTCTTTTCTTCCTGCTAACACTCATTACAGATAACCAATCTTTTTTATTTCCACAGCAAGTTTCAACAGCAGGGTAGAATACAGTGCCAAGGCACCATTCAATTAATTTTGCAATGCACACTCGTATAGTTTTGGAAAAAAAACGAGGTCGAAACAATAAGAAATCCGACGTCAAATGCGCCATTGAATTTATTTAATCAATATCCTTTCTAGATTTCGGCGGTGGGCCTGAAATCACATCTTTTGGATTAAATATTTTATTTTTTTTATTAATTTTGGTCTGCCCCAGACAGGCCCATCACTTCTAAAATATTCAGAATTCTGCGACACAGAGAAATTCGAAACCCAAGTCACAAAATATTTTTATAGCGATATAGAAGTTAGGTTTATGTCCTAAAAAAAATTCCTCCCTGTAACGTCCTGTGGGCTGACACCACCAAAGATCCCTATATAAATGATTAAATCAATAGATTTCTTCCAGATCGTCGGGTAGTCATGCTTTCGCATTAATTACAGTCACAGACAAACAGACAAGGTGAGAATGGGAGAAAATAGTTTTGTAACGTCCCGTGGGCCGACACCACCCAAGATCCCTATATAAATGATTAAATCAATAGATTTCTTCCAGATCGTCAGGTGGTCGTGCTTTCGCATTAATCTACAGTCACAGACAAGGTGAGAATGGGAAGGAATAGTTTCAGTTGCCCCGCCTCCAGCGCGAGTTTAAGTGCGGCGCCCAGCGACCGCCGTCTGAGGAGCCCGTGGCAACCCACCCTGCCGGGGCTACTGCGGGCGGCCAGGGCGGAGGTGGCGACCGCGGTGGCGGCGGCGGCGGCCGTGCGGGCTACCGGGGCCCCGCCGTCCGGCCCGTCGGGGAGGTCCAGGCAGGACTCCTTGGACTTGGACTTGGCCCGGTGCGACTGCGTCTGCTGCGGGGACTGGGCCCTGCCCCCCGGGATCGAGGCCCCCCGCATCTGGTGGATCTTGCCCAGGATGTCCTCCTTGAAGGACCGCGCCCGGCGGGCCAGCCGGCTGCCCTTGGGACGGCCCAGCTCTGGGGAGGGGACGCGGTGCTCTTCATACTCCGAAGGAATGGCGAGGATATACCGTAAAACCCTCTGTTTTCACGGCCCCAGCGGGGTCATATCGCAACCACTAGATTTTGCGATTTCTGAAGGCTGGGATTTGCCTCTAAACACAATAGTAATATTCGCGCCGACAAAAGTTAGCAAATTTTACAGTTTGTGAAATCTGAAAAAATTAGAGGCCGCAAACATAAAGGGTTTTACAGTGGTCTGTTTCGGGTTAAAGGTAAGCTCCGGAGGTTTCTTGAGCTACCCACACTAAACACACTTCTAGAATACCCAGGCCTCACTCTTCCTGGCATGCTATTTATTACCTCTAAATTCGAAATGGCTAGTGTTGAAAAAACGATGGCAAATGAAGGTTGTGATAAAACCAGCATTCTAATCTTCCTACGCTCTTCAGTGGGGCAGCGTTGTACATTGCATAAGTTGCAAGTTAAGCAGGCAGTCTAAAAAGACGCAAACTTTTGCTGACGTGAGTTTTTTCAGCATTCATTTCACACCGCCAAACTTCTTGTAGACCGCTGGGAACAAGCTGTACTGCGCCCCCATCACAACGTTTGACATAAAACTTTCGGTGTTGCCGGTAGAGACTCTCGACCTCTTGGACAAAATTTAACACTTCAAAAACTGGGCGAAAAGTAAAAATTATATTCTGACCTATAACTTGGGTTACTAGTTCAGATATGTTTATTAATCTGCTGAACCGATTTCGAGGCAAGTCAGTGACTATAGAAATTGCGCTTTTCAAAAAAAGCGGGACAAGCTCATTCCACAAAGCCCTCCACCCTTTTCACTTTAGTAGAGAACAGCACCTAGACAGGCCTCAGCACCAGCAGAGCCGTATATGTAGAGAGTTTGGTCAATGGGAGGCGCGGGCAAAGCCAGGGCGTGCGGCAGACTCGGAAAGAGGGCTTGGCATGCTCTCTTGACCAATCGGAAGCCGAAAAGAATCCCGTTGCGGTGGTAGCGAGAAACAGTTCTGATCGAAAGTCTATGTTCGTATATGGTTTTAATAAGTGCGTAAGAGTGAAGTGTAGTAACTCTTTGTGGTTGAAAATGGGGTCACGTGTTATTTTGATCATGATCATCCAGAAAGATGTAAGAAACGAATGCGCCACTCAACTCTGTTTTGCGCGGACAGTGTATGACCGCTCAAACAGCAAATTACCGGCCCTCGGCGTTTGGCATACGATCGTTCCGCTAGTCGCACTGTTCCACCATCATTTTTCATGAGCGTGATTGGTACATCACGTGTACCATATTTTCAGCCATCGAGAGTTACTCCAATGCAGTTACCAGGTTTGTTTCTCGCGACCACCGCCAGGGTATTATTTCCGGCTTCTGGTTGGTCACATTCGAATTTCTGAAGACGCCCTGGAACACACCCAGCCCGCTTTCGGCCAATGGCGCCTCCTCATTTGTCTCCTATACTTCCCAACGAATGGCCAAACTCTCTACATATACGGCTCTGAGCACCGGATCTTCCGCGTCATCTAAAAGCACAGACTGCGTACGGGGGCTGCTTCGACGTTGCCTTAGGACTCGCATTCAGTCAGAGAACTTGCAAAAAAAAAATTGAGACGCAAAAGTGTAACGGGGCGATTTCCCTGCTAAACTTAGTGGGAAAATTGGTTGGTGTAAAATTATACACCAATTCAAGTCTTTTGCCTGCCACATCTAGCAAAGAAACATTTCGTCCATCAACTACTTGAGCTGTTGCAAAGGACCAATTGCTGTCAATGAAAAGAAAGAACTTTCCAAGGTCCTCAATGCACTTAAAAAAAAAAGTAAAAAAAAAAGGAAAAAAGACAGACATTTAATAAACTAAAAAAAAAGACTTGTAGAGAATAAAATTTAAAAAAAAATGTCCACAAGCATGAAAACATTTTACCTCACATTCTGTGCATGTCAGCCTTATCGTAAAGATAAAGCATTCACTCGTTTCTCTTTTTCTTTTTTTCTAGCTTCCTCGTCTGTATAGTTGCTTTTTCATAAAGTAATTCCTCAAGAAATGAGGTACTGTCACCAAAAATATTACTGTGAACGGCACAACATGCTTACTTTGGTGTACCAGCTTAGTTAATAAAGAAATTCTGTCCCCAAACTAAGTGTCTAACACAAAATTTAGGTCCCAGTCTCTAAACTCTTTCACGAATGAAGAGACGATAAATAGCCAGACTGCGGTTTTATGTCTAAAATAATTCTAATAGGTCAGCAGCTGGGCATGAAATGGAGTAGTTGCTCTCACGGGCTTGCCTTGATGGTAGACACATCTCACAGCAGTTACAAAATTTAATACTACCAAATAGAGAGATGAAGCACACACTGTTTTCCTAAATGAAGCACACAATTTGTTTCTTTCCAATAAAGCACAATAAAAAAAAATTGTTTCTAACTTATGTGAAGAGAATACACACAAAAAAGCTTTAAATAGAGCTTTGTAGGGTTCACAACACAAATAAAGCCCGATTGCACACTTCCTTCATTCTCGTACTATGCCTTCTTCCCCAAAAGTAATTTTAAAATAAAGCAAATAAGATTATACCTTTTCACGAGGTCACCTTGCGGTTCCCACAAACTAACCTTCCACAGTCACTTGTTATGTAAAACCAAGCCTACCGGTGCCCAAGTTATGTTCAGTTCTGGTTCGTAAAGTATGTTTGGTTGGATAAGTGTGTGCACATTCAGAACCCTTTTTTTTTAATATTATCCAGGTCTTAGCAGCACAGCCTTTGAGTGCTGCACTCGAAAGAGCTAATAGCGTAATAACCTTTAAAAATCCTAGTTCCACAGACAACCTCGAGACCTGCATATCCCAATGAATTTACATGATTTAAAATATTCGCTACAGGACAGAAAAAATATACAAGCTTGACACCATCGAGAGCAAAAAAAGAAAAAGCACACATAGACAACCCTTTCGAGTTTGAGACTGCTCACACTTAAGAATGTTCACAAAATTCCTATGGCTACGCACAAGAATTTTCTAATGCATTGGAAAATATGTAGCTAAGAAAACAAAGTATGATTGACAAACTTAAAACCTTTACACTAAAAAATTAACTAAAAAGACCCAGTAATTGTAATTATAGTATTTTGTGTCTGTTTAGACAGCAAAACGTTAGTCAGCCCCAGGGGGCATCTGGTGTGTTTGCTGCAGATAGGAAACTTAGCCAGTGCAGTACCGAAGTCTTTATCGTGAATTGCAAGGCGATATGGTACACGACCGCACACCGGTGCGATGCTGATCCAGGTCAAAGTGGGAAGGAATGCAGATTGAACCTAGGATCCCTGGGTGCTGCAACCCAAGCTTTCACTTCACATGCTTCGAGCTGCGGTGCTCTAACACGCTCGGCCACCAATTCCCCCACAGGCTCGGTGCACAAATTACATGACAGGCAAGATCTTTCGCGAGTAACGTACGATGAGAGAAGTCTTACTCACTTTTCAGCCAGACAAATTTTGACACCACAAAGTCAAGTTCTTAGCTAATGTAGTATTCTAGGCTGAAAGGAGAAGGAACGAGCAACTTCTTCCAAGAGCAGCAGGGACGCGCGCTAAGAATGCAAGAAACTGTCGTTGACAGCGGTTTGTAGGCAAGAGTGAAATGTCTGGGACAAGCGGAGAGCTCATAGATAAGAGGGCTCCGTGTACCACGCACAAAGAAACACGATATGGCTGCAACAAAAATTCTACGTCTGGCTGCCATCCCCAGTGTGGCTTTACTGCTCTATGAGACACGAGGCAGAAGCTGGATTCATGTGCGCTATATAGAATCTGGGTTAGCTGATATACAATTGCAGCTAGTACTAAAACTTCCAAAAAATGTTTGTTTCTGATTTTATGAATAAAGACATTCATGTGTTCTTGCCATAGCAGTAAAAATGTCTATCAGATGTCAACTTCTAGACCTGTTTCAAAACCTTCAATCATATGGCCTTGTCCAAATGAATGAATATAAACCCCTGTCTCCTTGTAGAACAAGCTGCTGGCTCTCAGTTTGCTTTAAACAATTCTTCCCATCTGAAAAACTGAGTGTGCAGGTGCGCTGGTGGTACCTAACCATGTCGTTTAAAACCCTGGACTGTGGTGAAGAAAATGAAGAACTTTTAGTCAAAGGAACAGACAAAGAAGGGAAGGTCTCAAACTCAAAGAGCTGAGTTTGAGACATTCCCTTCTGTGTTTGTTTCTTTGACTAAAAGTTCTTCATTTTCTTCACCACAGTCTAAGGTGTTAAACGACATGATTCTTCCCGTTTCTCCAAAATCTAGGCATGAATCACCGTCACTTCAAACACAAATGATGGACACCGCATTCCGCAAATACTGCAGTGAATGTGTAAATAAATTCCTGAACGAGCTGCTGATACACCTGCACACAACTTGCAGGAGACAAAGAACAATTAAAGAATGTACTTACTGGTGAACCAGATTAACAAAAATGAGCATTCATTCAATGCTCTTTTCTTTACAGAGATTTTCATGTTGCCAATGTCTGAACAGCTTACTTCATCCAAAAACTGTAACTCCATCAAACAAGTGTCATTAGAGGATGCTGCTTCCAAAAGAGTCGGAGCTCCGCCTTTCTCTTTCCAACGGCCCAGTTTTGAAGCCGGGCAACAAAACGTGAGAGAAGAATGGCTACACTCTCATTGTCACTTTTTCCAAGAGACGGGAGACCGCTCTGTGGTTGCGTAACTCACTTTTCTGGGTCACGCACGTACGCGCATTCAGACATATATTGCCTAGCAGGAAGTCTGACTAGTAGAGCAATGTTTGCCAGGATACAGATTTTTGTTTGTTTAACTTCGCTGCAGACTGTCTGGAGGAATTGAAGAGAAAGATAATTTATTATCACCTCAATCTGTCAAAACCCACGTTAAACCATCGGTCTAAGCTAACAATGTTACTCGGCATCAGCTGACGTGCACTTTTAAATTTTGTTGAGATGTAACCCTGTGCAGAAAATTATATAATCTTTCTTTCTCCAGTTTTTAAGAATATACTGAGGCAGACTGGCTTTCAAAACAAAAAGAGGAAACCTCACACACACACGCAAAAAAAACAAGAGAAACTTGTGTTCGTCCCCTTCTGTGTTCCTGAGTCTCGGGTTTTATTACCAAGAAACTGGAAGTGCTCTTTGTCCAGTTTTGTTTCTTGTCCTTTCTTATATTGAGAAAATCACCTTCAACAACCAAGACAAAGTAAAAAGCCTTCTAAGAATTTGTTAACTTTAGAAGTACCGGCTCGTATCGGAATAAAATTTACAAACTTGCAACAAACTTGCCAAAGATGTATGCGGAGAGCAAGTCGTCTGCTTCTCGCAGAGGAGTTGCGGAGACATCAGAACGACACGCAGCTCTGATTGACAGCTGGAAGACCTCATTGCTAGATGCCTTGAGGTCTACCCACTATTTTTTTTTTACATCAGCCAATAAGAGCTCGGTGTTCTGACATCATCGCAACCCCTGTGCAAGAAGCAGACAAACTTGCGCTCCACAATGATTCTATATGCAGCTTGTTTGGAATAAATATACTGATTTGTAACCCAATTATGAAACCTGAAATATTGTCTTTGAATTCTGCCAAAATTCCGAAAATCTAGATTTAGCGCAGGGCTTTCTTCCCTTGCATGTTTCCCAATACAACTCCTTAGGTTATATATATATATATATATATATTTTTTTTTTGTTAGAAAGTTTTGCTCGGGAAATTCAGAGACTTTTACGCAAGCAGATGGTACCCCCCACGCAGTTTGCCGATAAAGTCAAACAGAAAACAGCTCTTGACGTTTCGGGAACAGTGCCAATTAAGATCTCTCTTTAAAAGAAGAGGAGCATAGCAGCTTTAATGAAAGAAATTAGGTCGAACGCGCCGCTCCTTTCTAAGGCGAAGCAAGCGTCCGCAGGCAAAGAGAAACAACACTTGTCACAGAACCGTAGCCCGAGCGCAGCTTTAACCAGAAACTTACATCACCACCGTCAACCAATAAAAACAGTTAATGTTGCCCCTAGACAGAAGTTGATAAGCTCTAAAATTATCTTACCAACCCTACAAGTTGAAAAGTTAGGTAGTTTAGATTCACGGCGAAATGGAGCAGATGGGACGGCTGCATCGATTAGCCAGCGAGCGTGTCAGCTGATGATGTGCTGGCGAAACAGGATCCCTCAAGGTCCTTATTTTTTTTTTTTTTAAATAATAATTTAAACGCGTGAAATGTGTCGACAAAAGTATCTAATGATTGAGAGGAAGGGACCGTCGCTCCAGAGTGCAAGTGGAACTCGAAACGTTCGGCGACACGGCGTATCACTTGGTATGCAGCCCACACGCACGTTGAAGTTGCTCGAACAACGATCAAAACGTTCAGGTCCATTATTTAGAAACTGAATTTTGACAGAAAGCAGGCTCGATCGATGTTGATAAATAACGAAATTCGCTGAACTTTCAGTCACGATGTACACCAGAGTGAATATGTAAACATTAGATGCAACTGGCACTTGAGCGAAAAGGCGGTCGAAAGATTCGCGATAACACAAGGGGAGCCGTGTGCCAAATCGGCGTTTAAAATGCAATCAGAAAACAACACAGCCGATTCGAGGAAAATCCTCGCAGTAACGGTGATTTTTTTGGGCTTGTTTTTGGAAACATTTTCTCCTACGGGTGTCTCGTACGTAGACCATTGTGGAGATTGAGGGGGGGATACGGAGCATTGTCGCTTAGCTGCACTCACCATGTTTGTCCAGTTTTTTCGACATGGCTCACCGTTGCGACGTTATCTAACATTTTAACATTGTACTTTGAATGAGCTCAACTTGAACACAAATTAGTCTCCATAGTGTAGCAAAAACTGCATCCCCTCCCTTGCTCAGCCTCCGAAGAAGCACGAAACGGGCGAAACAGGCCCATTGTTGAGTGACCGCCGTATATGTTTTCTGCAGTTTCGCTAAACGCGGATGTTTCTTGCTCACGGGCGACTGTCTGAACAAATGTCTCCCGGTACTTACGCAATAAATAAAAACCCTCACCACAAACATTTATTGCGCTTAGTAGTGCCAAGGAGATGAAGCTCAGTTTGAACGGTTTGAACAGTTAGAAAATTTAAAGATCAGTGATATTCAGTTAGTCTACAATACACCAGTCAATCCAATCCAGTGTTCGGAGTCGTCCGACTGGTTGGTTGGTTTGATTTCGGGTGTGCACGCGGTCGTAGCGGTCACTGTTTTCGCCCTGTAATTAGTTACGCTCCAAGGTTCAGTTTTTGACTATTACTGCGGTCTACGAAGACCCTCTTCGTAACACGATGAGCGCTTGCGCGGCAGCCATGGCTGCCCTCCGAAACGTCCGCGATGCAAAGTTCTCTGGCGCACTTCTACGTGCCGCGTGCCCCCGTACTTTGGGCACTTTGGGTGTAGAGGTCTTGGCACCCGGCGCACCACGGCTGCCGGTAAGTGCAAGAGATCACCACAGTCTCGTCCCGAGAACCCGGGAACAGCCCTTGACATGGCTGTGCACCAGCCAACTCCGCTGGAAATCCAAGAAGTCCAAAGCCAAGGCGCGTCAGGAGGCCGACGAAAGCGACGACGACGAAGACGAAGAAGACGACGAGGAGGCCGATGAGGACTTGGCGTACGGCGACAACGTGAGACCGCCTTTGTCTCGTCCCTGAGGGTGGACAGCATCATGAAAGCTGGCATCGGGATCTCTAAATCGTAAGAACGAAGTTTATCTTTGGGTCTGGCGAGAATGCACTAAGCCGATGTGCACGCGGCTTCCCAGGAAAGTGGTCGAAGCCTTCTACAGTAGCCTGATCAGACTGAATGGCAACAGAATCTCCAAGAAAAGCACCAGGTGAGTGGTGGCTGACCAGCAGCTGCGCCGTCTTGTTGTAGGTGTCTTGCAGGGAAAGTCCTTCGTTCAGCCCTAGGCTCAGACTGCGGTGGAAGCTCAGTGCGTTGGACCGGGGGGGGGGGGGGGGGGGGGAGGGAGAGGAGGGGGGGGGGGGGGGGGCTATGTTCGATAAAATGTTTCGTTTCTCCTAACTTCCGTCATTTGAGCCTCTAGCCAATCAGACGCAATATCGTCACTTCCGTTTCTTTTTAGGACAAACAAAACATTTGTCGAACATAGCCCCCCAGTCATGCGTGGATCCTTCGTCACGTGATGACGCTCTCGCCCACATGCGCGAAAAGCTGGGCCAGGTGATTAAGGGGAGGTGGCTGATTGGTCCGGCACGGCGTAGCGCCCACGGCAGTCTCAGCTGGGAGGTGAATGGAGTTTAGCCGCTGCGCCTCTGCCGGCACCATCTGTCGGTGCGATATCCATTCATACTTTGCATGCGTGCTACACTGCGTACATGGTGTCCTGCGCTCCTTTTACGACGTCAGGCCCCCTTCCAGATTTCCTTCTCCCGCACTGTGCCGCTTTGGATGGGAAGGGGGAGCTCCTGTGCTCTTTGGAAAGCGCTTTCACAAGTCAACACACTGTTTGCAATCAAGTCCGCGTTTGCCCACACCACTGAGCATGCGCAGAAACCAGATTTGCACGAAGCATCTGCACATGCGCCACTCTCCAGGAGCGCCACCACGTTGACATGACGTCAGAGCCTTATGTTGGGGAATGGGTACTGTGCATGTCAAATCGAGATATAATTTTCATTTTTGTGAACAGGAAAGTTAGATTGAAGTATGTTTCTTCTTACTCCCCAATGCAGAACCACTTTGTTTCCTTTTGATTACTTGATCATTGATTGTGCCTCAGGAAGACCTGTACATATCTTGCATGTGGTGTCATTTGCAGCCATGCCAGTATTTTATGTGCCGCGAGCGTTCGGTTTCCGTGTTAGTTTCACAACGCAGAATTTGTAGTTCGAAGAAAGCAGTAAGTGGAAATAACCGTCAGTACCCAGCAATAGCGACACTCGCAAGCTGTGTGTACATCGCTCGATCAATCAATCAGGTAATTATTTCTTTTAGAATGGGACACAATTGCTACTTGAGTGACATGAATCTGACAGCGGTTTCTCGAAATTAAATTTATTATTTGTCTGTGTCAGGGTAGAGACATCCTTCATTTCATCGAGTTTAGTCAGTGCGTTTTGAAGAAAGCATATACTTTGGGCAGTAAAATGGTTCCGGAAGGTGATGCAACATGAAAAAGAAAGGGGGGGGGGGGGGGGGGGGGGGCTATAAATCAGATGGCACCAAGAGATGCTGGAGTGTTGCACACTACAGGGAAAGATTTAAATAAGTGAATGATAAAATAGATCAGTTATCTTCCCCCCACACTAGCTTGTGTATGTGTGAAAGCTTTCTACCTTTGTTTATTTTTTTTCATAGAGCAAGTTCAAGAAGTGCGGAGGAGTAACGAGCTCCAATGTTGCAAAATTATTCCTATAGTAATTGTACGACAAATTTTGCAATTAGTGATATAGGAGAAAGTAATTAAATTTCAATCAGCTAGTCTTAGTGGAAAGTATTCAGTTTAGTTAAAGTTGTTCCAGCTCTGTTAAATTACACCAATTCGATTGCTGTATTTCAATTACCGTCCGAGCATGTCTGCTGCTGAGGTGTCGACTTCTCGTGGACTGGAGATTTCCGGTCGTGTTCATGAATCGTAATCTTCTTGCACGAAGTGGTGTCCTTAACCTTGATGTGCTGGATGCACATAGGGTTTAACTGTTGAAATTAAAGACACCGGCTTCTAGATCCTGTAAGCCGCCACCCAATTAAAAGGGAACAGCGCGAAAGACAAGGACTAGTGCAAGAAGTGCGCAGGACAAGCACTGACTGGAAACTGACGTTTAATGCTTGCCAATCAGCAGTTGTCCTGTCTACTTCTTCTAGTCCTTGTCTTTTGCACTGCATTTTTTTCCGTCATAAGTAAACAACTAGCCTGCCAGTTGATTTTAGTTCTCGTGCTGTGTGACCATAGAACACTACTCCCAACGTGAACTTCTCGCAGCGCTTGTTCCTCGCCATTGAGCGTGATTGATCTTTCTCATGCAGCTGGAGAAAGGCGACGAGCTGGACTTGATTGTGGGCCTGAAGGCGGAGAACCCAAACCTGATGGAGGTGCACCGGGTCACGCTGCTCCAGGTGCACAACGACCAGCTGACGGACAAGGGGCGCTTCAAGGTCCAGCTTCGCAGGCAAAAGAACCTCACCATCGAGAAGTATGCGGACTACGAGTAGATCTCGCCGTGGGCCAGAAGATTTCGGTACTCTGCCGCGAGAACATGGAGCGAGGGAAGTGTGAATGAGGTATTCAAACCGATTTAGTGACTGTTTAGTCGATCAGTGGGAGAGGTGGTCATCTCTTTGGATTAGAAGTTCCTCAGTACTTGTGTACGTAGTCACTGGCAGAATTAGAACGGCAGGCAGGTCATCCAATTGTCTCGTGTCCAATGCGTCCGACAGAGATACCCTACCATTCTCGCCCTACCAATGATTATATTAATGCGCAGTCTCCCACGGGCCACGATATGAAAGGCCCATTTGCCTAGCCAGTTGTTGATGCATCTGTGCTAAGCAAGCTTTGACCAGGGTCGCTTTATTTTATTTTGGGAGAGAGAATAGAATGAAGGTTCTTGCATCAAGAAATCTGAGACTTGCCAAAGCATATTCAGCACAGCTACCTGAAACTACCTTGTCGAATGGGTCTTTCATACTGTTGGAGGCTGTACATTTCAAAGTATGGAATGCCTGCTAGCTTGCACTTGTCGACTTCATTTCCCTTATTTGCTGTTTCATGCAATAAAGAGTTTGGGCTCCTCTTTGCTTT